TCGAAAAAAGAAGAGGCCCAATGGGCCTGCAGCGCTCACCTCATATATATACCAGCATATGTGACCTTGAATAGAAGTCAAGGTCATTTATGTTCGCAAACTATGTTGGGCTTCATGCAAGGAATATACATGCCTCTGAGCCTTTAAGTTCATGAGAAAAAAATCATTTAAAGATTTCAACAAATCTGATTTCTTTTATCTTGAATAAAGGTTAAGGTCGTTTCTTTTCGCAAACTTTGTTGGGCTTCATCCTAGAAACATACCAGCGAGATACCAAAACATTTGGTTCACTGGTTAGAAATTGTGTAAAGAAAAAATTGACGACGGACGTCGCACCAAGGCAAAAGAAAAATATTACGAAACGCAGTGCTGGTTTACTTTATTAATGAAATACTCATCTTATCACCCCGCAAAATTAATGCCTTAGCATGACGAGGTTGAACGTCAAAGCTTGGATATCTGAATATTAAACATATCACTTCCATATTTAGTCATCGACTGTTTATTAGACGTAGAAGGGGTGCAGCTATTGTTGATGGTGATATCAAAAGTTCTCAAGATGGTTTTTTTTCATTGACGACACTGAAAGGTAGACGTGTTACACCAACTAATTTGTTACAAAAACATTTGAAATTTGTTACAAATGTAACAAAGTAGGACTTATTCGTCGGGATGTGACGTGCAAATATGACACAACCCAATTTGTTACAATTACATTTGTAATAATTGGGTAACAATTTTGAGGTATTTTCTTAATTTGGTACAACTGTCTGTTATAAACGAATTGGGTCTTACTCCACGGGATATTACAATAACATGTGTAACAAATTGGGCTGTTGTAACAAGTTAGCACGCTACATAGCTAACGTTACTGTCATGACAATGTGTTGTTGACAAGCTTAATGATGACGACAGGGCTGCTACACCGGCCGGAGGGCAACAAGTGGATCAACGTTATTAAACAAATCACGAATTCTCCAACAATGTATGTGTATCTGTCATGTTAACACCATATCATTTGATCATTGTACTGGCACGAAACAAGTGCTCAAAAATGGAATTTTATTATTTTGTGTTTGGTAGACAGATTGACAATAATTGTAGGTTAGATTATTATGTTTATTTTCATGGTGTGTTAGTGACAACATGCTTGCAAATTACTAGTCCTAACCTAGTCAAATTGTGTGAATTCATACAGACCACGACACGGGCAAATGGAGACGATTTCTTTGTACAAGTTTACACTACATTAATCTTATTGATGGAATAAATACCAAAAGTTTGTCTGGTTTTTTTTGTTTTGTTTTTTTGTTGTTGTTTTGTTGTGGTTTTTTTTTTTTTTTTTGTGTATTTGTCAATATAGTACAGCATTTTCTGGGACTCTGTACAAGCCGATGGTGATGTTGTTTTTTATTCATTGACAAACGACAACAACAAAAAAAACGCGCGTGTAAAATAATCCGATATCAATGTTCAGAGGTTAACCAATCAGAATTATTGACTGCCAGAGACGACCAATCGGTAGCTTTGAAAGTGTTTACACACCACGAAGTTTAAAAAACGGCAACAAAATGCTACGAAATTTATCACCTGTTGTGAAACACAAAGTTATGGCATGAAGAAATTTTAAGATGCTTACAGTTACAAATGAAGATTATAAAAAGATAAAAATATCTCAAATTTTCGCAGTCTGTGTGATAAGATATTGGTTTCAATCTTCAAAATCAAATCCCGTTGGTTTCTTTTCTCTTTATAACCAGTTATTATGAGTAGAGAGTCACAAAGTTGAGTAATATTTCTTTCTATTAGATTTCCCTAGAACATTTTTTTCACAACGAAACCAAGTAAAACATTCTTTTTAAGGCTGTAAATACATCCAAAATCTAGATCAGATTAAAGCTATGAATTGTATGTGTCAGCCATTTGTTGGCCTTGATGAAAGTTTCTTATTTGATAAGCCGTTAAGTATATACGAATATGATATTATATTATCATAAAGCTTTCGTTTGTCAACACCTTATTACGACACATGAAGATGCATTTATTGTAGGTGTTAGTTAATGGGATATACTCAGAGTTACTTCAAAGAAATTTTGTTAACAGAAAAAAAGTTATTTTCAACTTAGAATAGAGAATGAAAAAATAGAGATATACACGAGAACCTGTCGTTAATTGTTAAAATTATCCCTTTCGAAATTTGGTCATATGTACAAATGATGTACCTAAACAATATATTAATATTATCATCTCCATAACCTATATTTCATATCCTACTAATGGCGATTAGATATTTTTCCATTCAATTGATTTCTGAAACTATTTCTATCAGCCAATCTATTTCACCATTGGTATTCCAAAGAGTGTTAAAAAATTATGATCTGACGAACTGCTGGTGAAAGTAATCCGACAGCCATTTTTTGACAGAGTTGTGCAGGTTGCCCCAATTTCTTCCTAAACAGGTCAAATAGCGTTATATGCTGTCAGTCTCTTCACTGAGAGAGTGAGGAGAACATACTCAGTTACTTCAAAGAAAAACAGCAGAAAGTCAACCATGTTAAACGGAGCAGTTTAAGCGAGACGGCATCATCCGCGACACCAGCATTTTTGTGCTTACTTTTAACACTTCAATCTTACCAAAACGTGTGAAGGTTGGCTTCGAAAGTGTTGGCGTGGATGTATACATCTCAAATCAAACAATGCCAAACCCCTCATGGCGTACCTTGACTAAAGTGCAATAAAGATGGACGACAGAGTTAGTTTTATCTAAATTTCTAACGGAATGGTCGAGCTACTAAACTGCTGAGAAGGATATTAAATCTAAAAATAGTACAGGTGGCCTTGACCTTCAACCCTGGGACTCCAACATGGTCCATTATGTGAATAAGAAGTTTGATTGAGAAAACCTTACAGGGATCAACTAGAGTACTGATGAAGACTTTCTAAAAGTATCAAAAATGGCTCTGACCTTGAACGTATATCATTAACTCAAACTTGTCAGCGATATTATGGCCATTCATTTATTAATGTTAAATTCAATTAAAATCCTTACTAGATCCAAACTGCTGGAGCTCCGACAAGGATTTTCTAACATTGGTTACACTGACATTGACCTTAAAACTTAAACTTGTCCAAGGAATTATGTTCCTTTAAAAGGTGTTTAAATTTCAATCAACATCCCTTGAGAAATGAAGTCGCTAAGTAATGACTTGATTTTCTAAAAATAGTGACGTGATTTCGACCTCAGAACCATGAAATTCAAATCTGTCCAAGAAATATTGGTTATTTTTCAACTGTTTATCCCCCTCGCCAGGGGATAATCAGCAATTGCAGAAGTGGCATTTCAAAACCAAATCTAAACAGTTTTTTTTAACAAATTTTTTCCGTTTTTGGAAGCTCCACATTCAATATTTTACTAGGAATATGACTGAACATAAAATAGATTTAGAACTTTTCGTATAACATACATTTCAGGTAACCCTAATGTCATAACTAAAAACCCAATAAATCACTTTGCAGACAAATATCAGATAATAAACAATCAAACAAATAAATAAATAAATTTGTTGTGACAGTCTATTAAAACGATGATGTATCACATTTGCATACAATTACTTGTAAAACCAATTTCCTCTGTATCTAATATCAATATGAATTCATTTATGGTGATATCTTTCAGAGAGTCATACATCAATGACACTTCCAATGTGCATATTGAATTTAATAAGACTATACATCAATGACACTTGCAATGTGCATATTGAATTTAATAAGACTACTTTTGTGCGATGTATTTCACATGTGTAATGAATATAATGGCACCATTCTTTTGCATCATTCATTCGTGGTGTGCACTCACGAAAGAGATTTTAGCTAAATTTTTTTGTTATATGACTGTCCTACACAGTAATTGGTCGAGGACTATCATATCATATACAGAGCATTTCACCAAACAGGCAGAAACCATCCTTACAAAGTGAATATAGCAATCCAACACCTTGTCCTTTTTCTCACATGTCAATATTACGATCCAGTAACCTGTGGTGCAATTTTTGACAAATCAGACGTGTGGATTGTCATCCTATGTAAAAAAAAAATGGTGCGTGATCGCAATACCCCACATCCTTTCGGGCTGTGGAGTTGCAAATTCAAGATGGCGCCCGTAACCGCCATATTGGATATCTGGAGGCGACGAAAAACAATAGGGTTGTATAGGTCAATAGGCCCAATATCCTCAGTAAAAATGGTGACCACCGGTGTTGTCGTTCTTGAGATAATGAGCGGAATGCAAATTCAAGATGGCGCCTGTAAACGCCATATTGGATACCGCGACGTGACGAAAAACAATAGGGTTGTGTAGGTCCATAGGCCCCACATCCCCAGTGAAAATAGTGATGACCGGTGATGTAGTTTTTGAGATAACAAGCGGTCTGCAATTGTGGACGGACGGACGGACAGACAGACAGCCGTGAGTGATCGCAATACCCCACACCCTTTAAGACTGTGTGGATAACAACAATTATTGACCTGTTTGCAGGTGAATACGAGGATTTATCAACCTGAAAACAGATGAATACCAATAACTATATAAGGTTCTCTACAAAAACTCGATGTAGAATATCAATCATGAAACACCAAATAAATTGATTTTCTCTACTGTTCAATCACCCTGCAGGCCTCCAGTTATGCAGTTGTAGAGTAAATAAATCCAGTATCAATCCATCCAGGAATAAATGCCATTGGATCTACTCTCCATACTTCTTTATGTTCTTTACTTATTTTAATCTTTTTACGATAGATTTCGTTTTATTACACAGGAAAAACCCCAATCCTAAGCTTTAATCCGATTAGGTAAAGAACCTGACACTATGGAGCAAATATATTCAGATGTTCTCAAGATATGACAATTACAATATGGGACGAGATGGACTGACATGGAAAACACTCAACCATTTTGAAGACTTTTCTTCCGTCATTGCTAAATGATAAACACTGAAGATGAAAAGTATACAAACAATTTAATTGGACGGAATATTTTACAAGGTAATCTCGGAATGTTTTTGAAGTCATCTAAATTATCCAGTCTTTTATATAGATAACAGGCTATATGCACTACATCTGAAAAATTTCATGAACAGTCAATGAACAGGCTTTTATAACTAAACTTCCCTATAAATTATCCGAGAAAATGTTCAATAAAAATAAAACATGATATGACAGTCACTTTTACATAACTAGTCTATCTTCCTCCAACATCGCTGGTGGTGCCTCCCCGTAACCAACACCAGCAGATCCAGCGATGCCTCCAGTCTGATCAAAACACCTCAGTTTACATTCCATGAGTCGTTGGACATCCTTCCACATCTTCATTTGTCGCATACTTGGTACCTGGCTCTCCCTTACAGTTTTTTGTTGTTCCCTCAAACCCTTGCCAAGATTTTCTTGTTCCTGAATCTTTCTTTGGAATATATCTCTGTAATGCAAAATTTTATCATCGTTTAACAAAATCTGAACTGTTTTTCAAATTGTTTTTTTATCAAAGAACAAAATTAGAACAATATTTTAAACTGTTTTACCATCACATAACAAATTTGAACATTTTTATTATAGTTGTTTTATCATCAAGAACAAAATTTCAACTTTTTAAAAAATTATTTCAACATATCATTGAAAAGTATTGGCAAAGGAAATGATATGAGATCCAATTCTGTTTTCCCATCCCATATGCAATATATGAATGTGTAAAATTGTTGAATATTGAATAAAAATATTGTTTAACCTAAAATTTGAACAATTTATTTTTTAATTGTTTTATCATCATAGAATATTGAAAATGAAAATGTTCAATTATGAAATTATTTTGAATTATATTTTTCGTTTGTTCTTTGTTGTGATATTACAAATGTATCATTATGTGTCATCTATTCAAAACAATTAATGGATGGAATGATCACAGGCTATGATAAACAATAGAGGAAGACGCTAAATGAACTTTTCAAATGATAAATGCTTGAAGAGAAAAATTTCTGCCACCTGATTTATAAATTTTAGGTCAAAAATTACATCCAATATCTTTTATGTATGTAAGTTAAAGTTCAATTTAGTTCCTAAGGAATCAAACCCTTATCACCCAAATGACAGCTGAGGGTTTTACAATAGAGCAATCTGGTCACCCTGATTCACTGTATCTAACATTCCAACTTTATGTGGTACCTGAATGTCTTTTTCCTAGCATAAGGATCTGAGGAGGTGTAGCTCTTCATCTCATCTGCCACCTTCTGTTGTTGGATTTCTAACATGTTGATCATACAGTTCAGATAATGGTATCGGCCTTCGTCCTGGGTGACCTCTTCTCGGTACGCTCGCACTTCCTGAAAACATATCAAATACACCTCCATAAGTCAAAAACTTAGTATCCTTTTGCCAAAAAATAGTCTCCCTTAGTCAATAACTGTAAAATAAAACAGGCAGGTTTGTGGAACCTACATCCCTCACTTCCAATGAATAATTCATCGGCAGTTTAAGCCTGGTAAATGCCACTGTAAAGAAGTGATGTTCCTAAACAATTACACAGAAATATCAACAAACAATGCCAGCAGTCAACCTCTGGCTCAACATTCCTATCCTTCTTTTTTGGACATGATACACTCCAGACAATTACTGACCTGTTCTAGTTTAGACATTATACACTCCAGACAATTACTGACCTGTTCTAGTTTGGACATTACACAGTCCAGACAATTACTGACCTGTTCTAGTTTGAACATTATACAGTCCAGACAATCACTGACCTGTTCTAGTTTAGACATGATACACTCCAGACAATTACTGACCTGTTCTAGTTTTGACATTATACAGTCCAGACAATTACTGACCTGTTCTAGTTTGGACATTATACAGTCCAGACAATTACTGACCTGTTCTAGTTTGAACATTATACAGTCCAGACAATCACTGACCTGTTCTAGTTTAGACATGATACACTCCAGACAATTACTGACCTGTTCTAGTTTGGACATTACACAGTCCAGATAATTACTGACCTGTTCTAGTTTGGACATGATACACTCCAGACAATTACTGACCTGTTCTAGTTTAGACATGATACACTCCAGACAATTACTGACCTGTTCTAGTTTAGACATGATACACTCCAGACAATTACTGACCTGTTCTAGTTTAGACATGATACACTCCAGACAATTACTGACCTGTTCTAGTTTGGACATTATACACTCCAGACAATTACTGACCTGTTCTAGTTTAGACATGATACACTCCAGACAATTACTGACCTGTTCTAGTTTAGACATGATACACTCCAGACAATTACTGACCTGTTCTAGTTTAGACATGATACACTCCAGACAATTACTGACCTGTTCTAGTTTAGACATCCAGACAATTACTGACCTGTTCTAGTTTAGACATGCTCCAGACAATACTGACCTGTTCTAGTTTAGACATTATACACTCCAGACAATTACTGACCTGTTCTAGTTTAGACATTATACACTCCAGACAATTACTGACCTGTTCTAGTTTGGACATTATACACTCCAGACAATTACTGACCTGTTCTAGTTTAGACATTATACACTCCAGACAATTACTGACCTGTTCTAGTACAGTCCAGACAATCACTGACCTGTTCTAGTTTGGACATGATACACTCCAGACAATTACTGACCTGTTCTAGTTTAGACATTATACACTCCAGACAATTACTGACCTGTTCTAGTTTGGACATGATACACTCCAGACAATTACTGACCTGTTCTAGTTTAGACATTATATGCTCCAGACAATCACTGACCTGTTCTAGTTTAGACATTACACAGTCCAGACAATTACTGACCTGTTCTAGTTTAGACATTATACACTCCAGACAATTACTGACCTGTTCTAGTTTGGACATTATACAGTCCAGACAATTACTGACCTGTTCTAGTTTGGACATGATACACTCCAGACAATTACTGACCTGTTCTAGTTTAGACATTATACAGTCCAGACAATTACTGACCTGTTCTAGTTTGGACATGAATACACTCCAGACAATTACTGACCTGTTCTAGTTTAGACATTATACAGTCCAGACAATCACTGACCTGTTCTAGTTTGGACATTATACACTCCAGACAATTACTGACCTGTTCTAGTTTAGACATTATACAGTCCAGACAATTACTGACCTGTTCTAGTTTAGACATTATACAGTCCAGACAATCACTGACCTGTTCTAGTTTAGACATGATACACTCCAGACAATTACTGACCTGTTCTAGTTTGGACATGATACACTCCAGACAATTACTGACCTGTTCTAGTTTAGACATTATCCAGACAATTACTGACCTGTTCTAGTTTGGACATTACACAGTCCAGACAATTACTGACCTGTTCTAGTTTGGACATTATACAGTCCAGACAATTACTGACCTGTTCTAGTTTGGACATTATACAGTCCAGACAATTACTGACCTGTTCTAGTTTGGACATGATACACTCCAGACAATTACTGACCTGTTCTAGTTTCCAGACAATTACTGACATAGTTTGGACATACACTCCAGACAATTACTGACCTGTTCTAGTTTGGACATGATACACTCCAGACAATTACTGACCTGTTCTAGTTTGGACATGATACACTCCAGACAATTACTGACCTGTTCTAGTTTGGACATGATACACTCCAGACAATTACTGACCTGTTCTAGTTTAGACATTATACAGTCCAGACAATTACTGACCTGTTCTAGTTTGGACATGATACACTCCAGACAATTACTGACCTGTTCTAGTTTGGACATTACACACTCCAGACAATTACTGACCTGTTCTAGTTTGGACATTATACAGTCCAGACAATCACTGACCTGTTCTAGTTTGAACATTACACAGTCCAGACAATTACTGACCTGTTCTAGTTTGGACATTATACAGTCCAGACAATTACTGACCTGTTTACACAGTAGACAATTACTGACCTGACTAGTTTGGACATATACAGTCCAGACAATTACTGACCTGTTCTAGTTTAGACATTATACAGTCCAGACAATTACTGACCTGTTCTAGTTTGGACATGATACACTCCAGACAATTACTGACCTGTTCTAGTTTGGACATGATACACTCCAGACAATTACTGACCTGTTCTAGTTTAGACATGATACACTCCAGACAATTACTGACCTGTTCTAGTTTGGACATGATACACTCCAGACAATTACTGACCTGTTCTAGTTTAGACATGATACACTCCAGACAATTACTGACCTGTTCTAGTTTAGACATGATACACTCCAGACAATTACTGACCTGTTCTAGTTTAGACATTATACAGTCCAGACAATTACTGACCTGTTCTAGTTTGGACATGATACACTCCAGACAATTACTGACCTGTTCTAGTTTAGACATTATACAGTCCAGACAATTACTGACCTGTTCTAGTTTAGACATGATACACTCCAGACAATTACTGACCTGTTCTAGTTTGGACATTATACAGTCCAGACAATCACTGACCTGTTCTAGTTTGGACATGATACACTCCAGACAATTACTGACCTGTTCTAGTTTGGACATTATACAGTCCAGACAATTACTGACCTGTTCTAGTTTAGACATGATACACTCCAGACAATCACTGACCTGTTCTAGTTTGGACATGATACACTCCAGATAATTACTGACCTGTTCTAGTTTAGACATTATACAGTCCAGACAATTACTGACCTGTTCTAGTTTGGACATTATACACTCCAGACAATTACTGACCTGTTCTAGTTTGGACATTACACAGTCCAGATAATTACTGACCTGTTCTAGTTTAGACATTATACAGTCCAGACAATTACTGACCTGTTTTAGTTTGGACATGATACACTCCAGACAATTACTGACCTGTTCTAGTTTAGACATGATACACTCCAAACAATTACTGACCTGTTCTAGTTTAGACATGATACACTCCAGACAATTACTGACCTGTTCAAGTTTGGACATTATACACTCCAGACAATTACTGACCTGTTCTAGTTTGGACATATTACTCTCAAGACCTGCAGCTGCTGTGTCATATGCCTGTTTCTTCTCCTCATGTTTTGCGGTAAGTTCCTGAAACAAATAAGTTTTAACATCAAATATTCCAAGCCATGACTAGTTAGAACTAATTCTCCAGATTTCCAAGGGAACTGGTTACCTTTCTAAAGTAAGGTTGAGTATTTCTACCAATATCTCATGGAATCCTACATAAATACTTGTGACTATTTAAGAGTGATAAATATTTCTTTATCTAAAATACTGAACACCAGATAAATTCACTTTAGACATACATGCTGAATAAAAATTTTATCCTAGAAACACACTACATATACTCTTCAAACATAATAATGCATTTATCAGACAACAGCATCAAAAACTTCCAGTGTGTGACTTTATCAACATTGTTAGTAATGAAATAGTGTGTAAAGTAGAAAATTGGTTGAAGGGACATAACTCTTGGAAATAGTCATGATATCTGACGGTAGAAATAGATCTAGTCTAAGTGTTCATCATCTATACTTTTGTCTTATCTTAAACTTTGAATGTCCTTCTTTCATCTTGCATTAGATCTTGATAGATACAGTTACCAAGGTATCAACAAGTTAAAATATTGTAAATCCATTTTGTTTGACTGAAAGGTTAAAGAAATAATACAGTCCAGGTAACCTAAGTGACGACAAAGTCATGTTAAAATTCTACATGTAAAGAAACCCTGTTAAATGCTCTCCAAATGACATACTAAACAAATATCTTAACCTTAAGTTTTGAAGTTCAAAATAGAGTTGAAATATTAAACGACAGCAAAATGCTTTATGTTACATACTTACAAAAACTGAGGTCAGAGGATCAAACAGAAGAACTTTTAATTTTCATTAAAGATTTACTTTTTTATGAGGAATATTTTCAGTTGATTAAGATTAACATTATGTATACTCTCTTTCAAGGATCATTATTTAAATTACATAAGAATTGTTTGTACTCCTATCACTAGCTACCTGTGACCTCTGCCTAAAAATTGTTTGTATTCCCAGGGTTTTCCATACGAGCCAGTCGCCGGCCAATTTGATCGGCTACTTTGATCATTTGGCCGTCTACACCAATCCAGTTCCGTAATAATGTTCTGTACACAACTACACGTACATGGCAGGCCAGCCTCCTACTTTCACTACACAGCCTACTACTAACAAAATTATGGAAAACCTTGATTCCTATACTAAGCTACCTGTGACTTCTACCTAAAAATTATTTGTATTCCTATACTTAGCTACCTGTGACTTCTACCTAAAAATGATTTGTTTTCCTATAAATAGCTACCTGTGATCTCTGCCTTAAAATTGTTTGGATTCCTATAAATAGCTACCTGTGACCTCTGCCTTAAAATTGTTTGGATTCCTATAAATAGCTACCTGTGACCTCTGCCTTAAAATTGTTTGGATCCCTATAAATAGCTACCTGTGATCTCTGCCTTAAAATTGTTTGGATTCCTATAAATAGCTACCTGTGATCTCTGCCTTAAAATTGTTTGGATTCCTATAAATAGCTACCTGTGACCTCTGCCTTAAAATTGTTTGGATTCCTATAAATAGCTACCTGTGACCTCTGCCTTAAAATTGTTTGGATCCCTATAAATAGCTACCTGTGATCTCTGCCTTAAAATTGTTTGGATTCCTATAAATAGCTACCTGTGATCTCTGCCTTAAAATTGTTTGGATTCCTATAAATAGCTACCTGTGACCTCTGCCTTAAAATTGTTTGGATTCCTATAAATAGCTACCTGTGACCTCTGCCTAAAAATTGTTTGGATTCCTATAAATAGCTACCTGTGACCTCTGCCTTAAAATTGTTTGGATTCCTATAAATAGCTACCTGTGACCTCTGCCTTAAAATTGTTTGGATTTCTATAAATAGCTACCTGTGACCTCTGCCTTAAAATTGTGTGGATTCCTATAAATAGCTACCTGTGACCTCTGCCTTAAAATTGTTTGGATTCCTATAAATAGCTACCTGTGACCTCTGCCTTAAAATTGTTTGGATTTCTATAAATAGCTACCTGTGACCTCTGCCTTAAAATTGTTTGGATTCCTATAAATAGCTACCTGTGACCTCTGCCTTAAAATTGTTTGGATTCCTATAAATAGCTACCTGTGACCTCTGCCTTAAAATTGTGTGGATTTCTATAAATAGCTACCTGTGACCTCTGCCTTAAAATTGTTTGGATTCCTATAAATAGCTACCTGTGACCTCTGCCTTAAAATTGTTTGGATTCCTATAAATAGCTACCTGTGACCTCTGCCTTAAAATTGTTTGGATTCCTATAAATAGCTACCTGTGATCTCTGCCTTAAAATTGTTTGGATTCCTATAAATAGCTACCTGTGACCTCTGCCTTAAAATTGTTTGGATTCCTATAAATAGCTACCTGTGATCTCTGCCTTAAAATTGTTTGGATTCCTATAAATAGCTACCTGTGATCTCTGCCTCATGGGACGCAGCTCCTTTATGATTGGTGCCAATGCAGTTTTCTTCTCAGCAATTCGTCGAGTCAGCCTTTGAACCATGTCAGATATATCCTCCAGAGTCTTGCCTTTACGTTCATCCAAACCACTCTTGACACTGGACACCTTCTCCAGCTCATCTTGTGTCTGTCGGTAACCTGCAACACCTTTCTTGTTCTCCAGTAACTCCTGTCAGACAAAGAAAATCATACAGAGCAATATAAATTTTCAGAAAAAGTTCCAAAATTGTCCCTAAGATCAGTTGTAATTTTTCATACAATGTATCAAACAGTACCAATAACAAGGGAAGACAGAACTAAGAGAAGAAATTCTGTCTAAACATTTATCTGTATTCAGCCTGCAGTACCTTTTCATTTTTTAAGACATCAAACTTTTATTGTGTATCTCAATATCAACCTTATCTTAAAATAACTCTTACAATGAATCCATTTAGAACATTTGTATTAAAGAAATATTCCATCCAAGTTGCAAAATTTCTGGCTGTTCTGTACCTTTTAAGGACTCATTCTAATAACTTTTAAAACTAATGTTAGCATCAAAACATCTCTCTAAAATTTCAGTTTGGGCAGATGAAATTGGTGGGAATACTACCAGTCAAACTGTCTAAATATAGTACATCAGTAATCCCTAACAAAAAGGTCACTGGATCACAGATTTGATGCAGAGTATTGGGTATATACACAAGTATGTCCCTAAAAGTTTCTTCCAGGATTATAACCTTATTACTTCATTAGGCTTAACTTTTGTTGCTTTGATAATTTACACAAATATTTACTAATAACAATGCAAACCTGTTATGAGGCAATCAGATCTGATTGATTTTTTGTAAATCAATCCAGCTAGATCTATAAATAATTTCTACTAATTGAAAATCATGTTTGTTTTAATGGTAAATTGAAGTGTATAATGAATATAAGAAAATAAGTAGATGATTTTTTACAGTTTTCTTTAAAAGTCTCCTATGAAATCTTAATATGTGTGAAATGTCCCTTTAAAGTAGGATTTTTGTTTGATCTTTATACTAACCAGCTGTTGATTAATATTCTCATCTCTGTTACGTAGAATTTCTTCGGTACGTGACAGCACTCCATATTCTGCTCTCAATTCAGCAATTTCCTGTCTCTTTTTCTTATAGATTGTGCTCTTACTTCTCAGCTTGTTCACATACCTCTTGAACTGAAAATAAAATTCACATTAACCGGTAAAATTGTGGAAAAAAATTATCAAAAACCTTTAAATTTACAAACCTTTGATAAAATTTAAAGATGAATTGTCATACTGATGCTGGATTCCATTCATTTTAATAAGTGACATATAAAACAAGATTTATGTAAGATAATTTGATCTTATTACAAAAAGACAGGTATCTGGATAGAAGGTGGGAAAATCAGACAAGAAACTATCAAAATTTTAGGTGATTTTTAAACTATTTGACTCAGTTATCTCCCCTGTGACTATATAGACACTAATCTTCAGTGACAAAAATTTTAATAGTTTGAAGAAAAAATAAATCATGTATTCAAACAAGAAAAATGGCTTTAAATACTATATAAAGTAACACATGCTTTTGACAGATATGTTAGATATATTGAGTCTCCCTTTATTTATCTTAAAAATAATTTTGTACTATTTTTTTTCTATCTAAATAAGCAAACTATCAAATGAATATGGACTGGAATTCTTAACTTACATCCTCGCCTTTCAAGACCTCCCCTCCGCCAGACTCTTTCACAACCTCACGTTTCTGATCTAGCTCTTGCATGTTGTGGTTATATTCCTCTCGTATTTCACGGAACAAGGTCACTGCGGCCTCCTTTTTGTGAGCAATGATGGCTGCCTGTTTGGGAAGAAGAAGTGCGTCATAAAACCGCAAGACTACACCTGAGATTCTGGAGGGAAGGGGAATGATTACAGTGTGATTTTTATGGGGTTTTTTTTATAAAAAAATGTCGTTATTTTACAACAAGCCCTGATAACCAACAGATATATTGTAACTTGTGAATGATGGCCAATGACAAACAATGTATCTAAATGAAGCATTTATTGATTAACTTACTGAACAAAACTAGATATGTGTAGGCTTAATACCAAACATGTGGTTACTGCTTGATATATATATAACCAAGGTATAACATATTAAGAATTGATTATTTAGAGCTTCAATCATTCAACTATATCTAAAATTGATAGACAAAAAAAATTAAAATTTTCACATCCTACAACATTCAATTTTCAGCATTGCACAGTCTTAAAATTGACCTTTATCCCACTGTGAGGCTTACATCACTTCTATATTCATTTCAAAATATCCTATATAATACCTGTTGTCTGAAGACAGAAGATTTATCATCTGTCTAATCAGTTGTAATAATACCTGTTGTTTGAAGAGAGAAGATTTATCATCTGTCGGATCACCAGTCCTCATTCTTTTTTCAATCAGTTGATTTATCTCAGAATTCAACTCTTGAATCTGCAAAATCACATAAAGCAAATCAAAATCATGGATTCCACTGTATCAGTTAAAACCATAGAGTTCCATGTTAGTGATGATTACATAGAACATTCTCCCTCGTATTTAGGTGAATAAGGAATTAAAATAAGTCATCTAACCATTAGTTATTTCCCCTTTGGGAAATCTTCTCATTTTAAGGTACCAAATGTATCATCAACATCAGGATGACAGTGGTTGGTCAATTGGACAGAGTAACAGAGTTACATGGTAACAGCTTGTCAAAAGCATCTCATTTTGAAACTAAAACATAACATTTTTTTATGATAAATGATAAATTTCTAAATTACAACACTGAATTTAGTTTGCATTTGATAGTTAACACATGTACCATTTGGATAGATACTTGCCTGTCCCAATAGTTTGTCCAAATCTGACTGTCCCATGGCTGGCTCTGCCACTACTTTCTGCAAATCCTGCAGTGTTTTCTTACGTGCTGTCAGGTCCTTAGGCAGCCTCTCTGTGACAATGTATTTGTTAGTCCTTGTCTCCTCCTCCAGCCTCTGTAGGAGACTCTGAGGGGTGGCCCCTACTCCTGCCTGACGTGTGTCATGGAGCTGTTGCTGTAAACGTCGGATCTTTTGTTCTTCGTGCTGTATCAGAGTCGATTGTTCCTGGCGCTGTTCTGCGAGTCTCTTCTCTTTGTCTCGCTCCATGCGGAGATTTCTGGCCACATTCATCATTGTCTGAGAGTTTGGATGAGACTCCACCTGTAATTAATCAGTGTGTACATAGAAAATAAAGCAACTACACACAAGTTCTTCTGCTTATATCTATGTACTTCCTGCATGTAATACATCATTCTTGCACATATTATACTTACCAAAATTTTTGCATCATACAAAAAGTGTATGAAAAATTAAAAATGAAAATTATGTCAGAGTGTATAAGAACATATATGTAAAACTTGTGCAAAAATACAATACTAACAAAATTGCTGAATTCAATTTTGTCTCAACGCATTGGATTTTTTCTCCAAATCCTATACTATATAACATCGCGAAAAATTATCAGAATTTACACTGTAACTAAAGCATGTAACCAAAAGACTATGACAGCTCCAACTGTCCCACTTCCATGCTTAATACCTACAAATTTTCAAAAAATAGTAACGGTGACCTTGACCTTCAAACCTGAAACATTAAATCACCCAAAATATTGTCAAAGTTATGGTTTCTATAAATTTTTATCAAAACTCCTTCAGAAAGAAAATTGCCAGACAAGAAAGGGCCTGATGCAAAGAAATGACACACAATACCTAAACCCTGCCCTTAAAATATTATGGGCAACAAATGAATCATTGTTGATTATCATCCAGCAAATGTTTGTTACCTGTATATCTGTACCTTAGCCCCAACTAGATAATCAGCCCACTTACATCCATTGAAGTTTCAGAAAAAAATAATTCTAATGCAATATCATTATCCTCTAATAAGCCCATCTCCCTCCTATGGGTCAGAGGCAATATGCTAATGCAGGAAAGATAGGGGCCATATTAAATATGAGATATTCCCGTCATAGTGTGCCCATAGCATACCTTTCTCTTCAGACGTTCTATCCTTTTGTTAAGTTGTTCTTTTTCATCCTCCATATTAGAAATGTCCTTCCTGATCTCTGTCGTGTTGTAGCCAGAATTCTTAAGATTGTCAAACTGTTTGTGTAGATCTTTGAATTGCTCCATCAACTCTTCATACTAAACAAAAATACAAGAACAAATCAAATGAAAATACTGACCAAAATACAAAAATAACTTTTTAAATTTTACTAAAATTCCTTGATATTTTCACAAACATATTGATATGTCTATATTATTATAATGTTTTTTCATAAACCTCAATTTTTCTTTCATTGATCATATTTGGTCAAGGAAGTTAAAGAACCCAGGAGAGTGTTCTGAATACTTCAAAAATAATTTTTTTTATAAATTGAATTTTTTTTAGATTAGTAAATATTCACTATATTGATATCAGATTGGTTTCATTGGACTAAAGATACAATACACCACAAATTTAATAACATCAACTGAAACCCTGGTTTCTACTCCACAGTATAACATACCTGGGAATACAGTTCTGGTATCTGATCTTCCTGCATAATTTCTGCTGGAACATCGATTTTGAAAAGAAAATGAGCCAAGTATGCTCTCTTTTTTAACTCTGGAATTCTTCGAAACAGCCATTCCAGAATTGGATAGATCACAAACTTATCTCCTTGGACGATTCCAGAACGAAAAGCAGACCTAAGATAACAAACTCAGTGGTTAGACATTCACACGTTTTTAATAATCATCATTTAAATAATATAGATCTGGTTAAAATTTGTATTAGTTGATTTCTGGATTTTTTCCCCAGGAATAAACAAACTGCAAAGTGAAAAATTGAAATATCTTTCAAAAAGAATTCCGTTCACCAATATTAAAACATTTGGTAGAATTTCTCACAATTCATAATACATCAGCTAGAATATTTAACAGAAGAGTATTGCAATACTTTGTAATGTAAAATTTATTCACGGAAATCATTGGATAAAGTATACAATGACTTCAAAATATTGCTGACATATATTTTTTTGGTAAATTTCAATATTTACATATTTTTAAAAAAATAAACAAGACTGAAAAAGAAGTTAAATTAAGTTTGATTTAAAATAATTCTATGACAAGAAATTAAACAAATTAATCAACATGATGTTTGAACTGCTGAAATTTGAACACAAGATTTTTCTTCAAATTGATATCTATGACGGGTCATCGTCTAATCATGCACCCCCCCCCCCCCCCTCCCTATGTTCCTGGAAGACACACAAAAGTGGTGAGAGGGTTATTTGCCATAAATTAAGAACATTGCAAATAGTTTATTTCTAAAGTCTGAAAATGTTTACAAAGTTACATAATGCTTTGTTATTCAATGATTACATTCCTGAAATATTTTTGTATTTATAATGTTTACATGTGTAACATAATTTGACTGTGGCATCATCTTTAGATATTGATATCCTTCCACAAACAAATTACATCATTGTGGTGTATTTGTAACATAATGGTAACCACAGATTTTGGGCTGAAATAACTAAAAACGTTGATGAATTTTCACAATTTTCTTTGTATTAACTTGACAAAGTCTTTATGAATTCAAAAATTGAAAAACAAAATTGAAACTCTTACATACATGAAAAATAACTTTTGATGGCATTATCTTTCTATTGCTTGTATATATTTTTGATATGAAGCAAAAAATATTTCTGAGTTGTCTATATTGGCATCAATGACAGGAAAATGTAACAAAGCAAAACGTACCTAACATCAGTGGAAATTTGAAATCTTTTGAAATGTGTCATATATTGTAGATGGCAGAATGTACTTCATGTATACAGAACGATATATACCTAAATCTCCTTGAGCTTTGAACACTGTGCTTTTTATTCCCAATGTCAATGATTTATTTTAACCACTGTGTTGTTACAAATTTCCACTGCATAAATGTTTCAAATTAACAGTAATGGAAGTGAACATTTTAAACTTAAATTCAGCTGTTGTTGGATCCTGAACTAAACACTACATACTTACCTCAGAGCCATTCTCTCTTCTACATCTTGGTGTCTTACCGACAGAAATAATGGTGAGATAGGTCAAAACACTATCACAACACATAAGTACAAGCTATAGCGTTGTTAACGGGCATTTACAACAAGTAAGCCTAGCCATGCAGAAATGTTATTAAGCTTAGTCATCAAAAAAAAGGACAACAGCAATAAATGATGAGTGGGCTGATTATAAATTCCTTATTTGTGATTTTTATTTATTTTACAACAACTCTGTGGCAAGTTCTATCAACTTAAAAATTATCACTCTTGTGCAATGTTTGCAAATGCAAATGAAAGTGCACCTAGGTGTTATTTTGGCACAAAACCAGAGTACCCAGAAAAACCCAGTTGAATAATCAGGTTACTCAAACCTTACGTCCGAGCAGGGAATTGAACTTTGGTCAATAAGGTGAAAAGTGAGTACTTATTACCAGGCATGGGCTTATTAATAGTTAAATATACAGGCAGGTATAAGAACATGATCACTCTGTTAGGGCAGAAGCACAAAGCAACAGGCAAAGGAGAGAGTTATTGAGACTAAAGTATCCCCCCTTCCCTCGGCTTCTTTTTTCATCTTTTTAAACATTTTTGCTACACATGTCAAGTTAGGGGCCAAGTTAACTGTTTCAGTCAGTCAAATCATGGGGTAGTCAGCTTCAAGAATAATCTGCATCAAGAACTCATGAGAAGTCATAAAATAATTTATGAATGTGTATTTAGTCTATAATCACTAATTTGACCTCATACAATATATAGTAAATGTATTTTCCATACATAAAGCACTACATTACTGACTAAAACCCAACACCATTTCAAGCTTAGTGTTATAAGCAGTGATGTTAAGTAATATATAACACACAGCAGTTAGACCACAAATCGCAAGTTAGCAGAAGATCACAACACCCAACTACCTCTATACGTTTCAGTTTAGTAAGGCTAAACCTGGTACACAATGTTGTAAGACAACACAAACTATACCTATGTCTGTTATACAGTATATAAATGGTACTTACACATCTCTGTAATAACAACACAAAAAATACAATTTATAGATCAGTCATAAAATCACCCAAATAAAAACAGTCTTACAAACTCCAAAATCAAATAGATTCTTTAATTACCCCGACTCAAACCTTGAAAGCCGTTATGCTAAATCTTCCTAAAGTGTAAAGTACAGGTACGAAATTGTGGTATACATTGTACAAATGGACATGCAGGATGTAGGAATAGATTACAAATAATTTCAAATGAAGTATGTATACATTTTATAAAACATTTACCCGGTATGGAAACAATAAGGGGACATAACTCATGCTACTTTAAATGCCTGGCAGAAAATGCTTCTTTTAAAAAAATGAAAAATATTGTGTAAAATGTTTGGTATCTTTTAATTCACATTTCCAAACTCTTTACTCCTTTTGAATTATTCATTTTCCTGTTTTCAAACAATGATAAGTTAGTTATACTTCTTATCGGTTAATGAAATGTTAATTAAAATTTTTTCAAAATTTAAATCACGTGATTAATTATCCAGAATTTGATACCAAACTATATTCTGTGTCTTTGTACTTCAAGCTAACGTAGTTTACCATTAGGTTTTTATATACACATATAAATTAAGCAATACATGTATTAATATATCATAAATGATCAAGTCAGGTTTCGTAAAAATATTTTTGTAAAAGACATCAAATCTGCATGTTTTTTACGTGCATCTGAATTCTTTTCATATTGTGTGTCTCAAATAGCATTCCAAAACAGATGATCTCTATGAAATATACTTACTCTGTTGGTGGTTTGTACTTAAGAACCCTCAGCATATGGAATATTCTGATTGCTGTCTGATCCGAGCTTTCCTCTCGAATGTCAATTTGTTGCTGAAATATTAATATGATATTCACCAATCAAACATTGAACCCAGTTTTAACTTTCATGTTGCATTGAATACAATTCCAATCTGTTTATATCAATCAGTTTCCAAATTTGACAACAGAAACCTTAAAAGAATGAAATCCCTTCAACATATTCATGCAAGTATCAAGACTGTATCCATTGATCCAGTTAACAATTTTATTCATATGAAATGAATTACAGTATAATTCAAATCATCACTTTCGAAAGTAAGCACTTGATTAACAAAAGTAATTATAACTACACAATTAAAAAAAAAACAAAGTGGGACAGAACCAACGTCTTCTGTAAATGAGTTATAGTTAATTCATAATTTTTTCCACAAGTAGTTTAATAAGTTGGTCCAGACCTGAGACTTTAGACAACCCATGATCCAACTTGTAATCAAACAAACAAACAGAAATAAGAAGGGACAAGCTAGGTATATTGAGTATGTAAAGTACCAAGTATTCCTTTTTCAACCATGCATACATGTGTGTAAATTTGCACTGAATGTCAAGTGAACACCATTCAGACCATCCTTGATGATCACTGTTGATTACACATAGAAGAATTTAAAGACAAGTAATTTTCAATTATAATAATTTGCATTTGGGATTAATCAAAGAAATGAAAATGCATTCTTCTAGCAATTTTTTTTCTGAAAACCTGAAATTCTAAAATCTACTGTAAAACTGGCTGCTTTAAGCATGGATTTGTTTACCATATGCATTTTACACAATGTTGTATGTTAAGTAGAATCCATGCGATTCATGAATTCATGAACAGAAAAGGATATAGATAAAAGATTCCATATAAGGGATACAATGTATATGTGGACAAATTCGCAAGAGGAATCTAATTTACTGGTTTGATCTGTCAAATACACCTTATATAAGGGATCAGTGATTATAGTTAATGTGCTAAATCCTCAATTTTAAAATTATGTATCTTATAGGAAAATAGAGAAAAAAAAACAAAACAGCAGGTATAGATTTACGTTTTAAGATGATTGTCTGTTATACCAGAGATGTGCAATATATATATAATGTATATGCATACAATTTACATCTCTGACTATACCAACGTAAAGTTTTTAAAACAGAAACATGAGAAATAAATTTCATCAACACAAAACAAACCAGTAACTTAAACTTCGGAGGAAAGAAATAGTATTACCAACTCCATTTCCTGAAAGGAATTTATTAATGCTATTATAATAGAAAAGTCAAGTATCCTTGATAGTTTTCTGACCATAACATATCAATAAAACAATGATAATGTGTATCAGTATATACACTGTATATCATATGTGAAGATATGTTGATTTAGATATGGATAACAAATACTACAACAATGAAAATAAATTGTAAAGTTAACGTAAAATTACTCAGTTGAAATAGGTCATCAAATTATACAAGTCACTGTTTATCTCGACTAGTCTGTCATTATCTTAGTTTTTCACTTTGCTGAATTATTTTCCAAAGATGAAGAAAAAAAATGTGAACATCTTTTCAACTGTCACTTCATTTTTCTCAATGAACAACAAGCCTGATTTACAAAAATCAAGCAAGAAAACAATGACTGTAACAGACATATATACAAACCTTTGGATCAATGACAGCCAAGACATCATTGAGAACTTGCAACAGTTGAATACTTTCCAGAGAATCAAATGAAATCAAATTGTATTTCTTGTTAAATGGATCCTTAGCTAGTTCCTGAACAATGAATTTCAATTGTTCACTCATTTTTTCATTGATGGACTAGTCCTGAAATGATGAAGTGAAAATAAAATCAAACACCAGAGTAAATTCTTATTAAATTGTCCTTCGTTATTTAAAAAAAAAGTTCAACTAGTTAGTTCTGATTGGTACATGGCAATTATCTTCTTCAGAATTTAATGGTCAGTGGTATAACACTATACCATTTTATATCTTTGAGAAATTTTGCATTCAGTAGGGTCATTATCGGAAAGGTTCTGTTTACTTATGCTTCATTTTATTAATTCATGACTTGATCACAGTCAATACACAAAATTCTGTTCATCTACTTGAATACACTATCTTGACAGTATTGAGTGACAAATGTGCTATCAACTTATTGCTATTGAGAGCAAAGTTTTCACAATACATTGATAAATGAATCTATCGTTACAACACCTGCGGTTAGAAAGAAACGAGTTCTTATGTACATGGACTCAAGACCTATATAAGTCTACTGAAACCACAAAAAATTCTGACTATCCTGATTTTTGCCTGTCGTTTCCATTTCGGGTTTAACCATTTTAATTGTTCACAAGTAAAGATAGGTTTTATTCAAACTGGTACAACAGGCATGAATAACAATTAACTTTCTCTGTTATTCTGATGGGCTTTTGACCGACGGAAACAGCTGATGGGGGGGGGGGGGGGATTGTGACATACGGTTCTAATGCAAACCTGTACTATAGAAATACACAAATCAACAACGATCTTGTTAGTCAAAAAATAACTGCAGTTGGCCGAAGAAACAATTTGTAAACAGGCAAATAACTCTAGTTTGGTTAAATGTCAGAATGGTTACTGGTGACGCTTCTCTGTTGCCATGCATATTAATATTGACATTAAAATCATGTAGATAAATCTTTTGAAAATCACAACGATATAAATCACATCTTTCCTCTTTGGCATATATCTGAACAATTAATGACAGGCGCGAATATTACCTCGCTTAGAAGAAACCACCTGTTTTCTCCGACTGTATATCGGTCTTCTCGCCTTCTGCAAGAATTCCAGTGCCCGGATCTTTGAAAAAAAAAAAACACTTCCGGTACTCTCTACACTGAAGTAGCTAAAACATGATATAGCAAAATGTGTTCTGTATCTTCCAAATTGTAATACAACTTTTAAAACACTTTCGTATTGATATCTATGTGGTTGAAATTTGTTCTATTTACAAGAGAAACCAGAATATTAAAAATATGATCAAGTATGGAGATTAATATAACGTGTACTTCCGGTTGTAGCTTTTGGTTTCGCCATCTGCATCGGGAAAGCAACATAAACAGAAGAATGGCACAGGTATTATCACATCTATATTTGTAATATTTTGCAACAGATTCAGAAGAATCAGCTGTCTCAACATGTTTTTTTCCTCTGAATTTTGTTGTAAATTGAATGAATCGATGTTTTTTAAAACTGCCTCCGAGAAGCCCTCCATATGCGACAACCTTTCATTTAAATTTTGTGTTACAGTATTTATATACCGAATACCTTTTAAAGTGGATTTAACCTGAAACATTTTTGTCAAATGATAGTAAATAGCATGGAGGCTTGTCTAGATGAGGTGATTGCCTATCATTAATTAGATATGTGCTGTCTACACTACGACAAGAGCATTAAGAATGATACAAGATACAGAAGTTGTTATTTAGAGTCGTGTTTTTGAATGAGAAAGCATTAGCACTGTACTACAGTAGAGCTATTATTACGACGATGATGATGAAGGATTCTCGTCTCCTTGACTCTGCCCACTGCAGGACAGACTCCAGAATTGACGTGTGTCGATTCTGTAGCGATGTAAGTGGGGAGGGGGAGGGGGGGAGTTGCTCCCTCATGGGTTGTGACGTGTGTCGATTCTCTAGCGATGTAAGTGGTGTGGGGGTAGTTGCTCCCTTGTGGGTTGGAGTCATATGGGGGTTGACTGTTCTGTAATTTGGAGATGACTCCCTGGTCTAAAGGTAATCTTGTGGTGATGTGTCTGGACTTCTGGCAGTGAAGGGGGCCCTTGTCTTCTTTCCTACCGAATCTCCAGGCTGTCTTATTATGATTATTAATTTTGGTTATGGGAAATTTAGAAGTCCTTTCCTAATAGAATGAAAATGACATTAGGCCGAATGTTGTTATGTTTAATTCGGGTATATTCGGGCTTCAGGGCGGCATTATGCGCCTACTCTTATTACCTAACGCTGCCCAGACTATTATAACGACTACGATGATATGATGTACGAGATGGGTCGCATCTATACATACCTTTACCTATATGTTATTTCATTTATAACTGATCAATAAGTTAATGATAAAATACAAACTTCATTGAGTCATTAAATTACTGCTTGGTGTTTTTAATAAGGAGATTTAAATTTCACAGCCAATTCTGCTGAAAGTGCCAATAACTCTACTGTCAAAGGCAGATCACATACAGTTTGTTGGTTGGTTTTTATTGAAAATTCTAGGAACTTAAATATGTCAAAATGCATTTTTTTTAAATTATGATTTGGTATTTGTTTAGAAGTTACATAAATGGAATGAAAGTTCATATTTCAATTTCCAGGATTTAAATAGGGCTTTGTACCCCTTTTGGGATATCATGGGTACATCGTTGATTACAAGAATATGCCAGGTATTTATAAGCTATCGGGTGATATGCTTTCAAGTTATTTGTGGTCTCTAACAATAATAATCTAGCGCCCTCCATGTGTGCAGAGTTTTCCATAAGAGCCGGTCGCCGGCCAATTTGTCTGGCTACTTTGATCATTTGGCTGCCTACACCAATCCAGTTCCGTAATAATGTTCTGTACACAACTACACGTACACGGCAGGCCAGCCTCCTACTTACACTACACAGCCCACTACTAGCAAAATTATGGAAAACCCTGGTGTGGATATTTGCTTTTTTTTTCTTTTTCAAAGTTGGCATTATGTACCAAATTTCTTCAGCTGTGATCTAAGGTGATTTTTAGTTTTGAAATGTGATATTGTAAAATAACCTCAAGAAAGAGTTTTCCAATTCCATCAGACAAGTACATGTAACTTTTTCAGTGTTATTTATCAGGTATCGACAAAAGAAAAAATTCTTTCCTTCCCAATATGAAAAACAAATGTTTTATGCTAAAAAATAATTAAATGTGTGTGGTGTACTAGACTAATTTTAATACCTCAATGGTACATTTCAATTAAATGCTGACTTTAATAAGCTAAGGATTGACAGGTCAAAGGCCACCTTTACACCAGTGTAAGCTTTCAACTTGGATGGAGTAAACTATAATAAATATAGCCTTGAAGTACATGTGAATAAAAATGCATACTAGCAATAAATTATCATATATATTAAAGTATAAACTCCTCAAAACCTCAACAAGTTTATTTTGTGTGTTTAAGTCGTCTCATATTAGTTGAATGCATTAAAGATTTTGAAAAAAATTTGAATTCAAGAATATTGATTCAGAGAAGATAATTACTTGCTCGGACCTAAATTTGCAATAGAGCTTTTTAAACAGTGGTAATTGAATCAAATTAGTACTACAAATCTACTGTAGATGTAGCTATTTATTTAATTTTAACAGGACTTCTCAGTAATTCTTGTAGGACTTTTTCAGGCAGGTTTCCGGAATGAGATTGATTCGAAACTGGTTTGGAAAATTTATCATTCATTTTCAGCATTGGTATACACTGGTATCACAGAACTATACATAAATTCTTCTGTGGCGATGAACATGTCTTCTCTAAATAGTATAATGACATGGAGTTATGCCCCTTTATTACTGGCTCCATTTCTGGCATATTTTCCTAATTAGTAACATCTTACCATTTCTTTTACTTTCACAGAAAAAAGAGTCGGAACAAAATGGGGTTAGTTGTTTAACTTTATGCATGCATAATTAAGGTTACTTGGTGACAGGAATAATATTTGACACGAGGTTATGTGGATTTATAAAATTGTGTTAAGCACCATATAAAGACAGATATCTGGAAATTTAAGTCTCTTCCATCAGTTTGCAGCAATAGCTTTGTTAATGAGAAAAAAAATTAGGAATTTTGTTTGTTTCTTCCTTATTTACCAATATTTGTTCAGAAATTTACACAAGAACAAAAATTCTTATCAGCCATCTGGCAAACATGTTTCCTTTTAAAGCTGGTATGGCATGATTCATGTGTGATGGTTCTTTTAGAACGTATAAGACATTTTCATGGTACATAAAAACACCTTATGTATTATTGACTTATAGAACAGCCATTCTATGTGTTATGCGAATGATGCAAAGATTTGAATAAAATTTTATACTCAGTTTTTTCTGAGTTTTTGTGTATAGCAGAAATATATCCATTTCAAGTTTCCTATGTCAAATATATCATTACTTTGTCCCTGCTTCTGTGTCATAAAGGAAGTATAAGGTGAGATACATTCTTGGCACATGCATATCGCAATACACTGTGGCAATCCACAAGGTGTACAACAAGTAGGTATGGATTAATTCCAGTTTTGGACAGCACCATGAACAGTTAGTTTCACAGATTTTTATGATTGATTTGTTAAAAGCAATAAACTAAAACTAATTTTCAGTTATATCCAAGGTACATCAATCACATTTACTTAATTATATAAAGTACAGGATCATAAGGTTTTCCAGAGCATGTAATTCATTGCGTTTATCCTAGGATTATGTGGGTTCCATTGTTCATCACTCAACAGTACAAAGGTATCTGTAATGTAGAACCTAGATGGTATATATTGTAACATGGAATTTTAAAAAAAGATGGAACAAATCTGATAAATGATGGCTATGGGTTCAAGCAGGATAGATGCATTTATGCTTTTTTGTTTTGTTCTGTGGTGGAGGAGTAGGAGAATAATCCATCCAAAACTTCGCCTGAGCTGAAAAATTATATGATCCATTCAACTTGGTTTCAATACACGTAACTTATTGTTTGGTTTAAATCAACAATTGATTAAACATATTTTTCGTATTCCTGAAAAGAATTTCTTGTACAAACCGTGTATGTACAAATGTGTTCTTCATTTCATACAATTAATGATATACTTGTATAATTTCAGTTTTATCACAAAATCATCAATGAATTAATTGATGGTTGGCAATTCCAGATAAGTTTATTGTGTATATTGACATTTTGTAAAAAGTAAAAACAAAAAATAAGTCTAACTAGTTTAGTTATATGTTTTTAAGGAGAAAAAAACATTTTTAGATTAAATTGATCTAATTTGCATGTGACTGGTACATGATAGCAAGTACTTTGTTAATAATAGATGACTGCATAGGTTTGACAATTTTTTTATTTTTTGCATTGTTTGGATTGGGTAAGAATGGATTAAATAAATTGTATGCCATTATCCTGGACTAAGTCTTGAATAGCTGATGTGTTGGAGAATCCTACCTTTTCTTATTGCAGAAGAAACTAAATTTTAATAAAAAATGTATGCATGTAGTTACTTCAGTTTTTTTTTAGTCTAATGGTCAACTGAATTATCTGTATCATTGTGTACTATATATAGTAGTTCATTTATGGTATTTGTTTCAGTGGTCAGCGGAAGACAAACCAGTGAAGATTGATAAATGGGACACAGCAGCTTTAAAGAATGCATTAGATGATGGAGCGAAAAAGGTGTTGTGTAATGTGTAAATACAGTGGAAACCATGTAATGTCACGTTGCTTAATGTCACTTTCCTATTAATATCACTGTCCTGTTAATATCACATTTTCATGAAACATCCATTTTTTCCTTGTACATACTATGTAATTCAGCACTTATTTTGATCTGGACAACACTTAATGCAAATGCATTTATTTATTTTGGTATTATCGCAAAAAAAAACATAGGTAAGTGCAGGCAAGAACTATGAGTTGATGCCTCAGGGGCCATGCGTCACACCTGGATACATTATGTAGTAAACATGTTACTGTCCTACTGGCCAACTTTTCACCCCCTTCAACTCCCAAACAATAGGTTGTTCATCTTAGCTGTAAGGGTCAGCTAGATTCAGGAAAGACTGGTGTGTTTGTTTGTTTTTATTTTTGTTGCCTCAGTTTTTTTTTTTTAATTTTTGTTGCCTCACATGTCTTAATCACCAGTGTGAGGCCTCATTGTTCATTGTCTATTTGTTAATGAGTCTGAATATTTGCTCTGCAGCCATCCATAGCTTAATGCTGTCAGTTTATAGTGTGAATATATTCCCTTTTGATCTGGTGACAGGACTGCTGTAAAGTCATTCATCATACTGTAACAACCGAAGGACTATTCCATCATATTTGTAAACTGTATAGTGTACATGCAATGTAATTTTGTACAAGTTTCTGTATAGTGAATATGGTTTGTGAAATCATGTGATGTTGTTTTACTTAATTTTTTTTTCTTTGTGGTACACAGGTCATCTTGGAAGGCTTTAAGTTGAAAGAGTCACACACTTTGTTTGATCTTCGTCTACTGATCTGTACTGTGGCAGTTGGATTCTCCTTCTTTGCCCTGCTATGGGACTACATCAGACCCTTTCCAGAATCAAGACCAGTTCTCATCATCTGTGTGTTGTCGTATCCTTTTATACCGAGTTTACTCTGTACACATTTTCGATTATCTCCCTTGGGCCAGAAAATATTTCAGCAGAATTGAATTCTTTAATGTGGGCATATACAACTGCTTTTAGAATAAAAGTGACTGTTTGAAACTAGTTTGTAAAAAAAGAAAGAAATGGGCAAGTTATGCAAGCAATTTTTTAATGAAAACAAAAAATAAGAAAATAAATTCCTGAGGTATTTGCGGGGGTTATTAAATTGGGCTCCGTCTGTCCAAGTGCTTTTCCGGGCTATAACTTCGAAACCGTTCAACTTAACTTCACAAAACTTCCTATATATATTAAGTTGGTGCCCTAGTTGTGCCTTTTGCTAATGGCAGCATTTCACTTTTTATATTTTTTCTGTTACCATAGAAACATAGTCAGAAAACACCAAAAGAGGGCTTTTCCGGACTATAACTTCGAAACCGTTCAATTCAACTTCACAAAACTTTCTGTATATATTAAGCTATTGTCCTAGTTGTGCCTTTTGCTATTGTCGACATTTCACTTTTTACATTTTTTTTGTTACCATAGAAACATAATCAGATAACACAAAAAGAGGCTTTTCCAGGCTATATCTTCCAAACCGTTCCACTCAACTTCACAAAACTTTCTGCACATATTAAGTGGGTGCCCTATTTGTGCCTTTTGCTATTGCCGTCATTTCACTTTATATATATATTTTTTTCTGTTTCCATGGAAACATAGACAGATAACACAAAAAGAGGCTTTTCCAGGCTATATCTTCCAAACTGTTCCACTCAACTTCGCAAAACTTTTTGCACATATTAACTTAGTGCCATAGTTGAACCTTTTGCTTTTAACAACATTTCATTTTTTTTTTTGTATTTTTCAGTTTTTGCAAAAATATAGTTAAAAACCTCAAAAGAAGGCTTTTTCTGAGCTACAACTTCATGTCATTGGCCCCTCAGAGTGTGATCATTATCATTATTATTACATGTTTTACATTTCTTACATAGTAAATCTTTTGTTGCCTGAAGATAGCTGTTATGCCTGAAAACGTTGCTAAAACACATTTGTTGTGTTGATTCTATATTTTCAATTATATCTCTATATATAATGTCTATAATGTTGAAGTTGAGGAGATGTGAGTTTATTATTTTCTACTAATGCTTTCACTGTAATAGACCTTCACGTGCAAAGTACTGATACATAAGTGTGTGAAGTCTCAAATTATTACAATGCTATATATAGCATATTTGGGTTCCATACCAACACCTGTGCGCGGGGGATAATGCCACGCTTTGCGGCATCTTGTCTCATAATCAAGTTAAGCACAGTTCATTTGAAATTTCAGAATATTATTACTGTAAAATTATCAGATAAAAAACAATTAGAAGTTCATGAATTATAGACTTAATTTGTTTGTCACTAAGATTTACTAACACAGTGTTGTAGATATTTCTAGCTTCTCTGTGACCCTTATTACTTTATATTAGCCTTAAACTGACTTAGATACTTTGTTTTGATGGGTGTGCTGACAATCTACACTACTTACATTGAGAAGGGTATCTTTCTTGTGGCACTGGATAAGGATGAGGCAGGACTAGAACCTGATGATGTCTGGGAACTATCTTCTTCTTTAAAAAAGTAAGTCCCCAATTCAAAAAAGCAAGTTATGCTCATAGGTAATGATTTTTTGAAAATTTTTTCAGAATTAGAGTATGTGATTAAGTTGCTGATAAATTACATAGATAGAGGATCATATTTGAATGTCAGTGTAATATGGAATTTATTAAACAAGTTCAGTTAATTATTCTGTCACAAGTCTTTAGTTTAATAGGTTCCATATTATATCAGCACATGTATCGGATTCTATTTCTCATATAATCTGTATTTTTGAAAATTAAGCAAAAATTCTCAAGTTGATTTTAACATAAGACAGACATAGATGATACATTTTTACTACCAAGACAATCATGTAAAGTCATGAAGTTGTGACTCAATTTTGATGTCACAATAGTGTTATTACCTATTTTATTATAACAACCATATTGATGTAGCACAGCAGGTCAGCTATCTGATAAAGAGGTTTTTGAAATCAAAGAGGTTTTTGAAATCAAAAGTATGATTCTTCAAATTTGATGGTTTATTATTAACTGGGAGTTTGCTTTTTTCTTAAAAAATATGTTTATTTACTGAAAAGTAAGAACAAAAAAATGCTGCCTTTTTATTGGCTTAAGATAAAAGGAATTTATTTGATAAAGGTTGAAGACCAAGATACCCAGAATGAACTTTTTTACTCAGAAATATTGGTATTTGAATTTAAATGCTCATTTTACCATGTTATAGATTTATCTTTTACTTTCAGATATGATGACAAGTATCATCTTCAGATATCTGTCCTACCAGGTACTACAAAAATTTCTCGTTCTATGGACTTCACAAAAAGTGTCAGTGAATTCTTTGATGAAAATGGCAAATTTGACTACAATAACTTTGAGCCAGAAGTCAGAAATCTGAAAGCAAAGTTATCACAAAGCCATAAGGAGTAATTTGGATGATGGCATGTCACACATGGCCGACTTCTTCAAAGAAAACATGCTTTATAAATGCTGAGTCAGAAATATGAGAGAATGAGGAAAGGTAGACCTTGCTATGAAAAATAGCTGGAAGATCATGTTAGTTGTTATTTTAAAATTATGTTTGCTAGAATACAATTTTCTTCAATGAGAACATTAAGCTATAAAATATCTAGTTAATGATTTTTTAATGAACCCACAAGTCAAAATAAGAGGTTCAGTTGATCTGGAACCTGTGTTGTTGAACTCTCATGAAGAGTATACATGAGAAGGCAGGGGAATGCTGTAGAGTGATTTGGTATGGATGAAATATAGGTTCAGGGTGATTTTGTATGGATGAGATATTGGTAAATGGGAATATTGTACACATGGGTTTACAGCCACGTTTCATTGTTTTGTATTTCGCAATAAACTCTTTGTGTACTGTAAATATCAAATGTTTTTTTTTTGTTTTTGTTTCTTTGTTTTTTAAATTTAAAATCATGGCCGCCATCTTGAAAACACATTTTCAGCTTCTTCTCAAGTTCCACCAGTGCGATAGAGCCAAAACTTGCATGAAATGATCATGACATGGCACTAACCAAAGTTTGTTAATTTCGGGTCAGTCCAAAATCCAACATGGCCACCATTTTGAAAATAATTTGAAAACACATTTTCAACTTCTTCTCAAGTTCTACCTGTGACATTGAGCTGAAACTAACCTGAAATGACCGTGACATGGTCCTGACCAAAGTTTGTTAATTTCGGGTTGGTCCGAAATCCAAGATGGCCGCCATCTTGAAGACACATTTTCGACTTCTTCTCAAGTTCCACCAGTGCGATAGAGCCAAAACTTGCATGAAATGATCATGACATGGCACTGACCAAAGTTTGTTACTTCAAACATCCTCTGAATAACCAGAACACCCAGGGTATTTGGCCTGTAGCATGCTGGGATGAAGGTTTACAAGTTTGTTGAAATGAATAACCTTAACCACTTTCAAGGTGGTGGCTGAGTGCCTTTGGTTCTTAAATCCAGGTGAAATAAGTTCAAAATTTGAAATCTTGTATTTACGTCAGATGACCGTTAAGGCCCATGGGCCTCATGTATGAATTCTATTAATTTACTTCTAGTATGCTGTTCATTTTCCTAAAGCATCCATTTTACAGGACTAAACATGGGACTGTTTACATGTAGCATATAAGGTGTAATGAAATTGGATGTGGGATGAATCCATGTGAACGATACAGGTGCTAATGACCTCTAGAATTGGACTTCAGATTAAATAGCTGAATAAGTAATGTAATGACATCATTTTTTTTTTAATCTTGTATTTTAAAAATTTTTGTTTTGTTTTGTTTTTTTAGAGAGAAACTAATACAGACAGATTTAAAGAGAAAGCAACTAGCTCTCAGTTTTATTAGGTCATCTGACCCGAAGGGTCCGATGACCTATAGTCATCATGCTTCGTCCGCCGTGCGCCGTGCGCCGTCCGTAAACTTTTCATTCAAACAACTTCTTCTCAAATACTAGAAGGTCTAGGGGGCTAATACTTGGCACAGAGGATACTGGCATGGAGCTCTACCAAGTTTGTTCAAATGAATGACCTTGACCCATTTAAAGGTCACAGGGGTCAAATATGTTAAAATCTTTAAACAACTTCTTCTCATTAACCAAAAGGCTCAGAGTGTAGATATTGGGCCTGTGACATGCTGGGATGAAGGACTACCAAGTTTGTTCAAATGAATGACCTTGAACAACTTTAAAGGTCACAGGGGTCAAATATGTTAAAATCTTTAAATAACTTCTTCTCAAATACTAGAAGGCCTAGGGGGCTAATACTTGGCCCATAGCATGCTGGCATGGAGCCCTACAAAGTTTGTTCAAATGAATGACCTTGGCCCACTTTCAAGGTCACAGGGTTCAAATATGTTAAAATATACAAAGGACTTCATCTCAATAAGCAAAAGTCTATGAGTGCCGATATTGGGTCTGTAGCATGCTGGGAGGAAAGGCTACCAAGTTTATTTAAATGAATGACCTTGAACAACAATCAAGGTCGCAGGGGTCAAATATGTCAAAATCTTTAAATAACTTCTCAAATACTAGAAGGCCTAGGGGGCTAATACTTGGCCCATAGCATGCTGGCATGGAGCCCTACAAAGTTTGTTCAAATGAATGACCTTGGCCCACTTTCAAGGTCACAGGGGTCAAATATGTTAAAATATACAAAGGACTTCATCTCAATAAGCAAAAGTCTATGAGTGCCGATATTGGGTCTGTAGTATGCTGGGAGGAAAGGCTACCAAGTTTATTCAAATGAATGACCTCAACCCACTTTCAAGGTCACAGGGGTCAAATATGTTAAAATATACAAACGACTTCTTCTCAACAAGCAAAAGTCCATGAGTGCTGATATTGGGCCTGTAAGATGCTTGGAGGAGAGGCTACCAAGTTTGTTCAAATGAATGACCTCAACCCACTTTCTAGGTTTGGCTTGCTTTTTGTCAGATGACCGTTAAGGCCCATGGGCCTCTTGTTGAATGTGCTACCTCCATTCCAGAGGTAGTTTAAAATATACCTGGTATTTCTGTTCTCGATTAAGTAATTTGTCATCATTTGCTGCATAACAAAGCAGTTGAAGTTACCACAACTTGGGGTGCTGAAGTGCGTATTAGAACTAGAAACTCTGACGTCATTCAACGCAGATGTGACATAAACACACTAGATTGGAGTTTTGGGTGTGACAGATCGAATAACAATTATGTAAGATATGGTTTTGCTATGACTAGGACTAGGCAAACAGAAAACAAATAGTTTTAAGTGCAGAAAGGTCGGCGGACAAAGCTTTTCGTTCAAGCTAAACATTGCTATTCAATTCAGCATTTGTAGTGTTTACGGAGAAGGATGAAATGCTATCTAAATTTAGACTGCAAATCAAAGCAGTAAATACAATTAATTCCTCTCACAGAAAAGCTGTGAGAACGCAATTCAACTTAATACCTTGTAGTAACGCGCTACCTGGTAGCTAGGCGTTATAACGTAATTCAGCTCCGATGGAGAGATGTCGGCCTTCAAATCTATTTCCATATAGATAATGATTAAAGTGAAATACCCATACCTGTCGTGTGTGAACTGTAGCAGTCATAAATTACCGGAATATTGCACTTTTATGTCTTTTGCAAAACGTAACACGTTAAGCACGTGCATGCCGCTCTCTACTGACGTTAACTGCGTCTTTCGTGTGCACCTGCTTAAAGTTTGGTTTATACAAAAGCAACCGCTGATTATGTTCCACAAACAAATCCCTAGGACCCATGACGTCTGATAAACACACGCTTTGTTGTCTAATTTATACAGTAGACAGAGCCGGTTCTGCAAATTATAATCGGAAAAACATGGATTAATGACGGGTATGAGCATTTGAAGGGAGTATTATCAAAATCAAGGTTACAATAAACAGAGGAAGATATTGTTCTGTCAGGTTGTATGATGTTGCGAAACTGTTTGTAAAACTCGTTATTTATGTTGTAGCTACTGTTTTATTACAAATGATGTGCAGATGGATTTTGGATTAAATTAACATAGAAAACCACAGGTAAAAAGTACATTGATCCAGGCATGTGTACTCGCTAACACTGGCCACGTGCAAACGTGTCTGTATACACAACCTGGGTAAACAGACTGTAATGGAGGCCTAACAGTAACATACATTGACATATTTTTATGGAGGCCCTACCCTATCCTAATCTACACCGACAGACTGTTATGGAGGCCTTACAGTACATTTTAAGGAGGCCCTAAACTATCATCACTTACACCGACAGACTGATATGGAGGCCTTGCAGTACCCTACACTGACAGACTTTTATGGAGGCCCTACCCTATCCTAATCTACACCGACAGACTGTTATGGAGGCATTGCAGTGCATTTTATGGTGGCCCTACCCAATCGTCACTTACACCGACAGACTGCTATGGAGGCCTTGCAGTACCCTACACTGACAAACTTTTATGGAGACCTACCCTAGCATCACGTACACTGGAAGACTTGTATGGCAGCTCTACTGTACTCCAATAACATATTCTGACAGATCCAGATTTCTACAAAAGCCCAGCATAAGTTTGAAGTTAAATTACACTACCAGATTTCTGCTTTTATGGTAGCTTAACACCGTCTCATTTTTCCATTGGCTTAATTATGCAAAGGCCAAACCATAAAATTGCTTACAGTGAGAGATTTGTTAGTGAATCTGCAATACTTTGGAAACCCTTCCGTAATTAAATCATTGATAGACGTTTAGAGAAGCTTTATCAGGGCATCACGTACAAGACAGACTTGTTTCTAGATGTTTTACCGACAAAATATTATATTTTCAAAAAGTCACCTTCGATGGTGACATTGACATATCTTAATAAAGGACTACCAAACGAGAACTTCCATTAATGTACAGTGTACATGTACCTGTAAGGATGTCTTTTCGTTTCATTATAATCATTGATAAATATTTTTATGAAGGTCCTACCGTATTGAAACTTATCTTAAAAGACTTGTATGGAGGCCCAACCGTATCGCTACTTACAATAAAAGACTTGTATGGAGGCCCAACCCTATCGCTACTTACATTAACAGACTTGTATTGAGGACCGACCGTATCGCTACTTACATTAACAGACTTGTATGGAGGCCCAACCCTATCGCTACTTACATGTATTTTGACAAACGTAGGGTCTTATCGTGTCATTACTTGCATTGACAAACTTGTATGGAGGCCCAAAGTTACCATTACTTGCGCTTTCAAATTTGTATGGAAACCTTATAGTACCCTTTTTCACTTATAGACCTGTACGGATGCCGTGCCGTACTTTCGCTTAAATGATACTTTTATGTAAGCACTACCGTAACATGGATCCCGATTACAGATGTGTATGAAAGCCGTACCATAACATTACATTTACAGATTTGTACTATAAGATACATTTACATTCTTGTAAGGGGAAGTCCTGTTGTATTATCGCTTACACTGAAAACTTTTTCTGGAAACCCAACTTTAAGATTACTCCGACAATTTGCATGACAGCAGTTACACCGACGAACCCAAGAAGATTCGACTGTCATTGCCTGTACTTTTACTGCCTTTGCTTCCACAGACATTATTTTTTAATGGAGGCGGTTAATACACCTTCATTCGACTTCACATACCAACATCACTAACATTGACTTATTGGAGGATCCATTTTATCGTTTTAATACCAACTTATTTCAGGTGTGAAAAAATGGTATTCTTTTTCTACTTTCATTGGCATGACTATACATTTGGCGTCATATAATATGTAAATGACATGGCATGATGGCGATTGTACGATTTTAATTCGCCAAAGATTTAGGACTATGTAATTTGATACTATTAAATTGGAAACACTTGAGATGAAAAACAATCATTTGGTGTGCTTTACGCTATGGATATAGAGGTAGAGCATCTGAATGATTTTCATATAGTTAGGTAATGCATTATGCGTGTTATTATAACTCAATTAAAACTACAACACATTATTCATTATCAACAACATAATCTGTCAAGTAGAACTGCTATTTGAGGATGCGACGTCGCCATTTTGTAATGTCAACAGTAATCCTGATTATCTTAATTTTTGGGAAAAAACCGTAATTACAGTACAGCCGAATTATGAATTAAATTGTGTTGCGTCCAGTGCTAAGTACTTTAATCATGAAAGTTAGACAAACGACTGAAATGCCAAAAACCGGATCGAAAGGTGCGCTACCCACTAATATCAATAAATTTCATAAATTTCAATATTGCATAATCTTATACTAACGTCAAATAGAAATGTATATTCTAATCGTTCCACTTTCCGAACGGATTAAAACGTCACATGCGTTACAGCTGTTTCGTTCTCTTAGAACTCTATAGCGATGATAAGGGTCTACATTTTTGTAACCTGCATGGGCATATAGGAGACTATTATGGAAAATCAAAATTGGTCTAAAGAAATACCAGTAACTAAATGGGTTGGTTCAGTTACCTGAAAATTCAGCAAGTTTCATAACTTTCAATACTGCATTCTGTTACATATATATATATACAAAAGCATGTTACTCCGAGGCTTCAAAATATGAGTTACGCTTTGTTTTACCCATGCAAATAGTTGTTATCTATACGCATAAAACAAACATCACACAGCACTGACCCGACCAAGACCCTATTTTTCCAAAGGATTCAAAGCTACCTCGTAATTATTATGAATTGAAAATATTTTGAAATCTTTTAAGCTTCCATACTGTTTCTGTTAATAGTCGAGAATTTGGAGTAAAATCTGACAACCAGTCGCTCGTTACCACCAAGACACATCTGGTGGATGGCCATGTGTTGTGTACATGACCTTGTTTGTATGCCTTGGCATGGCGCACATACTTAAAATCAATTTTCTTTTGCTTATATAGAAAATTGATAATTATAGTCAGACGGATCTGTATAGGCCTTTCAGTATATTGTAGACTGACTGACAAACAACACCATGGCACGTTTCTATTTGGACCGACACGTGCATTAACACAGCAGATGTAACATACATCACTTTAAAGTGCACAGCAATTGCAGCACCATCATGTGGTATATCGGATGTTTTTGGTGTGTTTTAGAGATTAAAAGAAAAATGTCATTCCGTATTATTTTCACTTCCATTTAACCAAGTAACCACATCCAAAACGCACGTAGTATTTTGTGTTTAAAAATTAAATTCGACTTAAGAAATCTTTCTTTCGTACAACTATGTTTTTATAAACAAGTAAAATTTTCATGCAATACACGAGCTTTTCTGCACTCCTTGACAACTTAAGTCGGTGAATTCCATCGGCATTCCAGTAAAATCTACCATGCGTTGTAACAGGAATTATTCAAGAACATTCTATTTAAACAGTGAACTAAAATATGGAGCTTGGATTACAAGTGTTATCCTATTTTACCAAGATATACCAGCAATGGCCAGCTAGATTGTATCAATAACAGAAACTCATTTGATATAAACGTCACAATTTATTTATTGATATCTTTTATGACAACCCGATTTATACAAAAGTATTTATATAATGAATACGATAACATCAATATAAATTGCTAATGCTTAATGTTGAAGACAAACATGATGAACATGAACACAAAATAATGACAGAAATGCATTGAAAACATGAAATATAAACTCATAACATGTTCAGTAATCACGCGGAAAGTACAGATCAACTGAAATCAACATATACGAATGCTAGGAACACACACATAGACATGAAAATCACGAATCATACTAAAACAGGTAGTGCCAAATCTTCTGCATATAATCAGGAGTCTCCTTCACTGAACGTTGATCTTGGAAAAATACCAAAGCGCTGTATAGAAGACTACTATCATTAACTTATTTTTCCCTTAACGAGTCTGTTTCCATCCCCCTGCTTCTCATGAAGCCAGAATTTCGATTTATAAACTGAAAAACAAAGCAAGAAATAGTTGAAAACGACCATAAGAACCTCTAACACTCTAACACAATGACTGCTTTCCAAATCTAGTCAACAAGGTTAACTAGAGTTCACTTTAATTTGCGTATAGATGAAGACTGAAAAATCTAAAATTAAGGTCCCTTCACCCAAAGATCCTCCAGACCAATTCCTGTCAATATTCGTGCATTTCTTGCATGGTTCATCTTTAAAGTCCCACAATTTGTTTTACATATATCCTATTATAAGAGTGAAGTTTACTTACTGCTCACGGTTAAACAAAACAGAACAAAAACAGAAAATTAATTATTCACTAAAAGGCAATAACAATTAATAACTTCCATTCCTATATTCTTTTATTGTCTATTTCGTTTACATTTGTTTTGCTGTTACGAATTACATACGTTTACGAGAAACGCCGAGAAAACTTTATAAAAAAATCCGATAAGTGTTTAGAGTAGTAAACTGAAGTAAATACACGCAGTAATGAGTCTAGGTAATGATTGACATGACGTCCTACATATATTACATATATTACCACCACTAACTCTCTTCACTCCACCCTGTAACAAATGTCTTCAATATCAACAAAATAAATCCTATGAAAAAATGTGACTATACGTAAATTTCTGTATTTTTATTTAAATTCTACAGTTAGCGATTTGTGGAAATCATGTTCTTTTCAATATTTGTAACACAAAATCGTATTCTGAATTTCGTGTAATTAACTTGATCTGTGGCGTGGGACCTAACTTTTTAGTGCACGGTGAATACCTTTACAGAAGTTAAGGATTCTGTCCGCTAGCATAGAACACAATCGTGATAAATAAACCTATATTTACCATGCTATTTAGTATAAGTGGATTTTTACACGCGTGATCTCGGCTTCACTGTCACATAGTATGATAGAGGTATTCATGGTAACGTTTCCACTTCCAAGCAGCCATTGTTCAGTCAACCTTCATTTAAAGTATCTAACATCCATAAAACATGTTGCTTACATCTAACTTTCCCGGTCATCTTTATCAACGCCATCATTTCAGGACGCTCTATTTTATTTGATGAATTTTCCGTCAATCTTTAATAGTATCATACACGTGCGTTGTAACCATAAACACGTGTTTTTTGTAAGCATTTACGTGTAAAAATGCAATGAGAATAGGAAGATTACATCTATATGTACTATAGTGACCTAATTCTTATAATCGCGATTTGCTTAATATAACTGCTTTTTTAGTTGATATCTTTAAAATGCCATTGAAAACACTAGAAACTTAATATCAACACGTTTAAAACGCGAATATGTACATCACATGTTTTTGTTCAAGAGAGAATTTCAATTCAGATACGTTGCATTCCTGCAATTGAAATTCCTTGCTAACATATATTTCGTATCATGATCTCTTCAAAACAGAAATTGAAAAGAACTTTTAGCTGCAGACCATGCGTTCTCCTGGCACTAAGTAATTTTTCACGCGTGTGTTTCTGTATGTCACCGCAACACTTAGAAAGGAACTTGTTTTATTGGTGATATCACGAATAACTTCCTCTTGAAATGTTCTACTTGGCCAACATATACTGTTAATGAAACAAGTTTCGAAACGTGCAAATATCTCAGTTGTACTTATACGGTGTATTTCGATAACGTTATTAAAAGAATTATTTGAAATGGTCTGATTCACAAGAAACGTTTTTATGACATCAATACATAAATTATCTAATGGTCATGATCAACAATATGATTTTACTGAAAGAAAAATCAAAAGTTTATCAACACGTATTATTTGATTAATAAATTGCAATGTCTGTGAGAAAACGGAACAAGCAGCTCTAAATGTTAATACCACTTCAAAGCAGTATTACACACAAGTGAATTAACAACAAAAATGAAACATGCTCCCTTCAATAAACCCGAAATTGGACTTTCAACATATAGACTTTCTATGATGTAAAATAACAATGAAACATACTCTGGTTATATAAACATACTATGTTTACATACTGCAACTTATCCTCTCGCTTTTATGTAAATAAAACAAACTAACAAACCTTACACCTTTATTTGCTTGTTTGTTTTATCTATTTATTTTTCTTGTGGGTTTTTTATTATTCTTTTTATCTTTTTTTTTTTTTTTTGTTTTTGTTTTGATTTTTTCTTTTTTTCTTTTTTTTTTTTTTGCGATAAATACTGGCAGTTAGAGTTAACAGACAGTTAAATTCTCTTGCTTCAGTGGATCTGAAATACATTCACAAATCAGCTGTTTTTGTTCTCATAATTCGAACAGATTAGAAACAACAATCATGTATTGGACACATAAGTTGCACAAATGCCACATTACATTGCACATTGTACAGCTCCGTAACATCCAGGCAATACTAGTAAACACATGGTTTATATAATGTCTCCATTTTTGTAGTGGAACATTTATGCAATAAAAGTTGTTTTCTGAAAAGCTCACATTACTATTTACAAGTTAAAATCTTATATTGGACAAGGTTGCATTGCTCCATTACATCCAGAACAATTACAAGTAACTCCTTTTTTCTAAGGTTCATAAGATGTCGCCATATTTTGGCACATTAATTTGATAGAAACTTTTAAAATAGTTCACACATTCCTACGAAAACGATAATTCTATGTACAATATGTACAACATTCAATGATCCGGTAAGATGCTTCTCAAGTTCTGAGGATATGCCAACATAAGTCACTGTAAAATTCCAAATTCAATGGTTTTTGTAGAGTTATTACGTAAAGCGACTCATCAAGGCACGCCCTATTCGGATAACACGAGTTTTTTTACCTTAATGATTTATCCCAATCAAGCATTTCATTAACATAGATCTGAATATAAATTTACACAGCTACTGTCATGAAATTTGCACTCGGTTGTTTTTCATCGTCTTTTTCGTCTTCCTTACTGACTGGTTTTTTGCCTTTTGCTGTCTTTGTCGTCGTGCAAGCTTTAATGCAGTCTTTGCTTTTCTTTGCTGAATACGCCATTGTTTTAGACTTCGACGGATTCTTGCAATTTCCTTTTGCATTCTACGCATGCGTGAACTATATAATTTGTTGGTCGTGACTTGTTCATCAGCGGGGAGATAGCTCCATTTTGACCTCTTGCTGTGAATCATTGTTTTGATGCTTCGCAGTTCTCGTTTGACGTATCTCAAGAGGCTGCAAATGGTGATCTTTGCACGGTTACACTATAAAGAAAAATAACGTTTGAAATAAATCAATGGTATACTGTGCATGGACAATATCAGGAAAATTAAACAAACAAAAAATTAACGAGATAATCTTTATTTTGCGAAAAATTAAGTGATACTCTTAATGCGATCAATTTCGTTTCGTTTATTATCTTAATTCAAAGGTATAACGCTTTAAAACATTATTATTCATTTTTTCAAAGAGTTTGCTTTGTACACCTTACCGTCCGTTTGAGGGTTTTATAGATGGTAATACCCCGGTTGATCATGATCTCTATTCCTGTAGCGGTCTCCCATGTCAACATATCTCCACCAGTGGAAAGTGCTGAAGCTGTAGTGAGTTAAAAGTCAGAAACACGGGTTAACTAATAGTTGGATACTAGGAGTATGATTAGTCAGCCCCCATCCCCATCCCGATTAGAAAGATTCCTGATGGTACATTGACATAAACTGCAGTTAGAAATATCACCGATGTGACAAGTACGAACATCGACTGAAAATTTCCAAATGACTCGAGATGACAAAATTGTCAGGCCAACAACAACTTATTTATCCGATATCAAAACTAACTGACTTGTTCCAAGTGATTTTAAACAATTTTTCAATACGCACTAACATACGTTTTTGCAGTGAAAAAATTAGATGGAATCCTTTTGAAAGCTTAAGTAGCTTTTAGACTGTTTGAAATGATTGAGGGATACAATTTTACTGGTGGTTTGATATCGCGTTGAAGTCATGAAAGGGTTCATTTCATCGTTTATTGTACAATATGGTTTTTTTTCCTCGTAGCTTATTTTTTTTCACTGGACACTTGATTTCATGGATATACAAAGTTAACTGAATGTGCTTTTTTAATTTATGAGTTTGTGGACATATGAATTCGTGGATTAAGAGCGCAAATAAAATCCTTGAAAATAAACCACCACAAAAATAAATGATTTTGCGGCAAGTACGGATTGAAACATAAAGACTGTTTTTATAGAACTCTGTAGATATAAGGTCTATGGACATCAATATGATATTAGCGTATACTGTTTACGTTTGAAAAACCAGCAACAAAGAGCATTTACGATTCTTTTGCAACATGAAAGTCATTTCCTCCGTAGAAGGGAATGATTCGTTACCTCTGGGTTTGGGAAGAAATGGTAGCATCCCGTAATTAAGATGCGGCTTCCGTGAATACATTTCCTCACGGATACGGTAAAGGTCTTGTTCATATCGCTTCACATTTCTGTATGCCTGTGTGAAATCTTTCTTTTTAAACTGGGTCATTTCAATCTGGTTCTCTGCAGTTGATATCCGAATAATCTGTAACAATACAACAAACGATTAAAGTCATTGATGTTTTAGTACTAGCGTAGCCAGAACGGCAATTATACACACATAACGTTGTTCCTATTACTTACATGTCTCGGAGATTATTTGATAACGATGTATATAGATTGAGAGATCAAAGGCTCTAGAACCATAACCCTTTTGTGTCTAAACGTTGCGCTTGGTATGAATATCTTTTGTTTTGGTGTAACGCTACATGGGTTGAACCCAATTAGGAACCACACTTGCAGCACAAAAAAGAGAATTATTTCGAACATAAACAATATGTCGACATTTTCCGCTTACGATCAGATTTGTACGCAGTCAAATTGCTTTAAAGTGTGTTTTTACGGCGTTTTTAGCTGATATTTCAATTTTCGCGGTCTTATTCTGAGTGTGAAATATAAATGATGCTACTCTTCACGGACAAACTTGTCTGAAATCATTTGACTTTTTAACGAATTATCCCATCCTTAGAAATAGCAACACAATAAAACATTGATTACAGCTCAAAGTCGACGAAACGATTAAAAAATCATTGAAAAGAATACAACCAGATTAAGACCATATGTCCTGGAAATGTACGTTTATCCTTGAATAACCCATATTTTATAACCTCCACAAACCTTTATGTCTTCGAGACTAAAACAGCTTTCGTTCAAAATCTATAAAGCCGAACATAGTTGGAAACTTGAGTCTAACAGAAAAGGAAAAAGACCAAAAAAAAATGGGGGATGGGGAAAGTAAGGTTATCAAAAGTCTTGTAATTAATGAAATTCGCGGCAAAGACAGATTTTGTACAAACATTTCAGTATAACATATATCCATACAAAAGCAGCGGTCTTGTCTTATTCAAAACTGATATAACGATCTTAAGATAAAGACGTACTGAAAATTGCTGTGATTGATTAACTTAATTACATGCGATATAAGTGATTATCATGAAGACGAAAATTTCCTTCGGTTCAAATTGTGATTTCTGTGGTTTACATTAAAGTAATGAACAAATAAGGTAATATTGGTCATGCATTGATCACTTACAAAGAAACATTACTTTAAAAATAAGTAAAACCTATCGTAACCACTGCTGATATTATTAATTTATGTACTTATGTACATCAAATTTTTTTCTACATATTTAACAAAGAAACAAAATCATAATCCAAATTCAAAGTCAATAAAGCAAAATATGAACAAAACAAAGACTTCTGAGAAAGATGGAGAAGAATTAGGTGTTCCGGAAGAGTAAGCATCTTCGGCTTCATCCACGACACCCAACATGTGAATCTTGGTCTATCCAAGTAAATTGTGTTAAAAAATGAGAAGAAAACAGCGGGACCATAATTTCACAGTGCTATCATCATGACGACCGTACAACTTACCCGTCATTCTTATAAGTATGGATCTGCCGAAACCTTGAGTTATGAGATGGTTTGTCATTAAATTACCTTTGTATTGTATGGTTGTCCGACCTCACGCTCGGCAAATTTTAAGTGACTCGACAGGGACTGTGACTGAAAGTTGGATTTTTTCAATATCCCAACGGAGGAAGAATGCCGAAACTTCATCTCAACGACTATAATTTCCAACATGCCGTAGCTTCTGTCTCGTAAGTAGTAGGCGCCATCATAATATTGTGCCATTACTGGACTTACGGCCGCACCGTCCTCTTGGATATCCACACTCCGGCGATAATACTCAACATACGCCCGGATGTAGGTCTTACGGTTGAATGTAAGATTACTGGCTATTTCCACCTGTAAGAGATTTAAGCATGAATTAAAAAATATTTAAAATATAAAAATTCAAAGTCATTTACATAGTAGACTGTACAGTGAGTGCTTGTCCCCCTACTGCTTTGGCGGTTTTTATCAATTTTTAGTTTGTTGAAAAATGAAGATTTGCAATGAAGCGTCCAGTACAAGTTTTACCTTAAATGAAAGATAAGGAAACATCAAAGCAACATTCCTAAGGAGATCTACATCAAATTGTATCTTGATCTTATTTTCGACAGATAGCATTGCAAATGTAAACAATTCTGTGGACAGCTTGATATCAATTTGGCTTTTAACCTGCTTAAGTCATTAAGGAAAAACATTATCTATTCAGCGACATTGTGATAATCTGTTCACAGAGTAAACATTCGCTGAAAAGCTTTCGTTTTGTAAAGGTTTCTGTAGACTTTGACAACATACCGCGAAACAGTCGCCTTTATGTAAGATCCCCAGACTGGTCACTGTCTTAGCGTCGCACAATCCCATGAACACGAATATATCATTATATTGTCGAACTTCGAAGTTTCGTGTGTCGTTGAGGACCTTCGAGACGCTTCTCACTGGTCCTTGTTTATTTGGAAGATTGCTACAACAGAGAAACACGAACGGAAGATGAATCATCTGTCTATGGGAACAAATCAATTCTTTGAAAACAAAAACTCTCAGTTACTGTGTATTTTTGGAAAATATCCAAACTTTTTATATATAAATATCATATATTTATGGTAAGTGGGACATATACCCCATCAGTATTTTCATCCATTTTACACATAGAAACATCTTGTACAGGAAAAGGAGTCCATCATTTAAGAGATCGTTCAGCTGTTCTAGCAGAATGAGTGTCTGTCAACTGACTGACTAATAACACATGGTTTCAAAAGATGCAGTTTGATGAAAAATTAATACGGAGGTTTTACGGTCGTCATAGTGATCTCATTGAGAAATATTTCATTTCGTTGAGCGATATGACGCTGGTGTTTGGTGCTCGTTTGTTTATCTCTTGGGTTGTATACCTTGTTCTCATTCAAGAACGTGTCATTATTTACTTGGATTGACCAAGATTTACATGTCGTCGATGAAGCCGAAGACGGTTACTCTTCTAGAACACCTGGTCTAAGTTTCTTTGTAGCTCTTCAGGAATCGCAGTGTAAATTTTTCTTTTGGTCATAAAATACCAACTGAACCCATATTAACAGTCGAATTCGATTAAACTAAAGCGAACACTGAACAAAGGAAAGATGTACAATCATGGATAATAAGACCAGGTGTTCCGGAAGGAAAGTGTATGTGTCTTCCACAATAATCCAAGTAATGTCACGTTCCCAAATTAGAAACAGGTTTACAACAATTAGACCGCCCAGTTTAACAGCGCAAAATAAATCGAATAGATAAGTTCTCGTAAAGATGACAAAAAATCCTAAAAGTTAAATTAAGTACTTCTGTTTTGATATGCAAAGGTAATTTAGTCGTGATAGCTATTGGCACCAAGAATGATAGATGTTCATATATCATCTTTCAAATCTATTATAGAATCCGAAAAGCTCATTTCGGTAGTAATAGAATTTATTTTCAATTTTCTTCTTTTTTTTTTTTTTTTTTTTTTGTATCTCATAAATATATGTCGGATGATGCACCAAATAGACGTTTTCATGAAACCAAACACTTTGTGAAAGATAATTATTCATCCATCCATGTCTTATTTGTGAAAGATTTTAAAGAGGCAGGTGCTTTCGCATACACTTAAAACGAAATGGTGAAAAGGAGTTTATAGATTTAGGGCTATAAATGATGTCATCTCAAAGCTGCTTCAAAGTGATTAAGTCTTAACGAGAACCATGTTTAAAATCTTAACTATAAATTTAATTAACAACATACATAGTACCTTACACGTGTAAACACTCGATCACATGATGTGATGCGTCATTAAAGACAGAGGACAGCTGACGGGAATTATATATTATAACGAACCACAAGAGCCTTTAAACACTCTACCAAAACAAACTGCGAAAACTGTCGTTAATGACAACACATGAAAACAATTTATTCCTTTGAAAAAGATTTCCAACTTTCGACACTTACGAACTGCTACATTAGCTTGTATATTAAGCTGAATCCTAAAGTAACCGTTGATTTTATAATCTTACCAATATTTTCCGAAAAGTTCCGTTACAATTTCAATATGAAGACTTTTAGTTCTAACTACAACATCATGTAACCAAGACATGAAAAAAGTATATCTGTTTACAGAATAGAACTGGAAATTTATTTTCATAGCTTTTAGAGGGGCAGGAATACTTGTGTATACCATAAATCATGTTTATTTACAAACCGTTACAAATTTATCTTGATTTTTCATTAATACTTTGGTCAGTGGATTACTATTTGGAACAAAAATATTTCTGTATTTGATCGGAAAGTCACACAAAACAGTTTGTGATGCTTTCAAACAAAGCTGAAAGATGTTCCGTGACACTGCAAGCCCAGAATCGCTAGTTATAGTTGTATTATCAAGGACAATTGAAAACCAAATCCCTCTCAACTTTGTATGTCTGTCTGTCTATTTGTCTGTCGTCCGTTTTTCTACGTTTTATACACGAATCATTGTTTAATGTCAATTCCAACGATTACGTCAGCTTAAACGTTGTAAATCGTTGGAATTGACATGAAACAATGATTCGTGTATAAAACGTAGACAAACGGACGACAGACAAATAGACAGACAGACATCCCCTCTCACTCGGTTATTTTCAGCTATCTATATTAAAAAAATCAGTTGAACACTGAAGTATAATTAGATAATGAAATACATACCTGAGGATGTTTCAGACGTTTTACGAATGGATTAAATTTTACTTAAATTGTTAAGTCTTTTTACATGTAATTTTCTTAAATTGGCTCATGATATGTTGAGCAGACTCCTTTTTATCATCAGAAGTTACCACGTTTTATCAAATCGTCTACATCCAAAGGAACTTCTGAACTTGGTTAGGATATTAGTGGTTTTGTGAAAGTGTATCGAATCTTGTTTGCGAATTCATAGACATTTAAAGTCTTCTTACTGCCAACAGACAATAAAATAAATTCAGAACCATCCATTTTCTATCATCTCGTGAAGAACTGTGAGTTAATCGATTTAAGAATGACTTTCATGGCTGGCCAAACTGATCATGCTGCGTTCTGCTGGTACACTGGATAAGTACTTAGCCTTTGAGATGGTCCAGATTGGAGTAAACATTCGTTAAATCCACACCTGGACTCAATCAAAAACCATATGGTTGCTAGTGCTACTCGGCAACCCAATAAAGCATCTTACACTAAAGGGTACAATTCCATGTGTTCGCAAAAAGTGTGAAACTAAACCCATTTTACACCAATCACAAACATTAAATAAACGTACGTCGAACCTCGTTATCTCGAAGTCGTCTGGACCGTGGGAAAACTTCGAGTTATCCGAGTATTCTATTTAAGTAAGTTTGAATACTTAGTGCGAAGTTGCAACGGTACCGTAACATAATCTTCGACTACTACGGTCAATTTTCATCGCGAGACGATCAATTTGTATGATGCACTGTCGTGTAGGATTAAAACTGATTAAAATTTCGTATAAATGATACTTGATATTAATAAACCTGTTATACATTGTCTAAATCAGAGGCCCATGATTTATAATAAGATTTACGGTGTTTTAGTAAGTATGATGCAGAATTCAAACTTCATCATTCTACAAGTTAAAGAATAAATAGCAGGGCTGATCGACGAAAAAAAAATCTAAAACCCCAGAACATAATTTCCTTTACTTACAAAAGAATAATTAAAGGTAGCTTTAAGCATTGCTAATACTCTGGAGATCTCTCTTTATTGAATTCTACTTTCAAGCAAATAATTAAAAAAAAAAAAAAAACAGTGAAAGATTTACTGCATGAAATAAACATTAAAAGAGTGAAAATTTAACGTACACACACCATTAATGACAACGTGTATCATTTAGTTAAAATTTGAAAACATTCAAGTCGAAATAAGATTCAAGAATCCTATTGAAGTTAATATCGCTTATTTTGTTTGTACTAGGATAAAAAACAAAAAACCCGAAATGCTTACAGCCGAACCTACTTGTGGAAACGAAATAATTGCAACTGAAATTGCTTGTCAGGAGACTGATAAATGCATGTATTTATTTATTTATTTATTTATTTATTTATTTATTTATTTCCTTTTCTTTTTATCTGGTAACTACTAAGTTAACGAAACATCGTCAAAATTATGTTCACAAAGTGAAAATTTAAGCAATATCTTTAGAACGGCTTAATGAAAAAACCTAAACAACATGAATGTTACGACAAATCTTTCCACTTCTCAAATGAATAAGTTTGTATATTCCTGTCTTTTAGAATGCGATCTCCTGTATCTCCTACTTCGTAAGTTGAGCTCGTGCCAGACCGTTTTAAGAGGAGGTAGACGTTAATGGACTCGACAAAAAAGAAATGAATAGAAACTTTGTTTTTCGAAAGAAATCCTGTAATACAATAACCAGAATGTGACATGGCTATGTTTATTATTATTTTATATATATATATATATATATATATATATATATATATTTGTGGTAATGCAATAGTTGTGATACAATATCTTCCATCGGTATAACTGTTGTTGTGATAAGATTACAGCGAAACAGTGGAATGTTTCTTCCTTAATCGCCTTGGGGAAGGCCACGAACTAGATACACAAAAACTACAAATTATTTAAGCAAGCGAGGCCTCACGCACGTGCAAGTATTTAACCTCTAACCCCCAACAAATGATACATATTACTTTTTTACATCTTTCGCGAATCCTCTGTCATTCACTTCCGGTCTGTATGGACGTGACAGTGTGCTTGTTTTTGTCTGTTGATCGACATCTTATGTGGTCCGAAGATAATTATAATTGACGCCACACGCCTCACTGATGCAAAGAAATCTTATATGTTTTCGTATAAAGTCAGTTTTAGAAAAATCTCCCGTGAGTTAACGCTTAAGATATAATGACGTATATAGGTGTTCGGAATATTAAATAATCTTGAATCGAAACGTTTTAGAGATAAAGTAAAAGATCGTGTTAGAAATAAAATGATAAATTCAGATCTTTTAATATTTAATTCGTTATATTTACTGCCTAAGAAGTCAAAGCGCCCGTAAAACAACTCCTTACGACAGTAAAAGTTTAAATATCCATATTCCGTTCATTCAATAAAGCTCACATTTTTTCACACTGCTTGGTACCATTAAAATGACAATCCTGTCAGTCGGTTGCCCTTGTCACATGTTTGCTTAAAACTTATTTCAATAAGAACACAAAACAGAATCTTAGTTAAGGTGAGAGATATGACTATTTTGTAACCCCTGGTAAAAAACGAAACTGTAAAATTTACATGGTAAATGAAGTTACAGATCTTTACAGGGTATAGGAACACGTAAAATTGAGTCACAGGGTAAAGGTTCCTACAAACATTGAGTTACATGGTATGGGAACATGTGCACCTTGTCTTACAAGGTAGATGTACCTGTAAAACTTGAGTAATAGGATATAGAAACCAGAAAACACTGAGTTACCAGGCAAATATACACGCAAACATTGAGCAACAGGGTAGCTGTATCTGTAAACATTGAGTTACAGGTTAGATGTACCAGCAAACATTGAGTTACAGGTGAGATGTACCTGTAAACATTGAGTAACAGGGTAGCTGTATCTGTAAACATTGAGTTACAAGGTAGATGTACCAGCAAACATTGAGTTACAGGTAAGATGTACCTGTAAACATTGGGTTACAGGTGAGATGTATTACTAAACATTGAGTTACAGGTAAGATGTACAGTACATCTAAACATTGAGTTACAGGTGAGATGAACTTGTAAACATTGAGTTAGAGGTGATATGTACAGTACATCTAAACATTGAGTTACAGGGTAGATGTACCTGTAAACATTGAGTTACAGGGTAAATGTACATGTTATGATTGAGTTACAGTGTTGATACACCCAACAATGTTGATTTGCGACATGTGACCTTACCAGCTCCTGGTTACTGCAACATTAGGTGAAATTTGTTCAATTTTAAGGGAACACTGGCCGATGTCCAGAGTTGATCCAAACTTCCGGTTGTATTCGAAAGCGGAAATCTCAAGCTTCTGGCCAACACAACTGAAAATAAACAAACTTAAATCTTAACATAAACATAATTACACATGCCAAATTGAATTTGTGTTGAAATTCAAGTGCAAACAAATTACTGGCACCAATTCAGGAGAGAACGTGTTTAAAAATTCTATTCTGAGTCATTTCACGAAAAAAAGACCAGCCTTGCCGTGATAGAGGAATACCTTCACGTAAGAGAGTAAGTTACTAAAGAATTTATATTAGTTTTTTTATCAGACTGGAAACGAAAACATTATTTCACGTGTGGTGTTTTAATGTGTGAGTAATACTGTTTTATGCGGTTCGGTTATTTGAAAACTCCAGCAACGGATTATCATACGGACTGACAAACGCAAAATTATTCAACGGACGAATAGCTAGATGAACACTTGGACGGACATGTCAACGTCAAACTGATTGAATGATATGAATTTATCAGACGAAAGGGCGAATAGACGAACGGACGGACGGACGGATGAATGGATTGGCGGATATGTAAAGGTCATACTGGCGTCTCAGGTAGAGTGAATATCAAAAAAATGTAAGACGGACGGAAGAAAAGACAGACGAATGAATGAATAGACGGACATTTAGAGGAATTACTAGATGAATGTAAGGGCGGATATGTAAAGGTAAATCTGACGCCTCAGGTAGAGTGAATAACGAAAAATTATTAGACGGACGGACGATTCGACGGACGAACAGTTGATTAAATAGATGAAAGGATTGGATCATGTCAATATGGCACTTTGTATACATCGTTGAAAGCTTTGTCATTTAACAAGGAAACGGTTACTTGAGTTTAACTTTAATAAGGTATGCAAATTGGATTTTGTCCGGGGCTTACGTATGTGAAATCGGTCCTATAACTGTTGCTCTGTTGGTTAGATACATATATATACAGTATTCAGAATCTCCAGACATGTGCACGGTACTGCAGATCATCGTCTATAAATATAGTACTAATGGCTACAACTTGAACTGCATTTACGTCATGCCATGTTGAATTAAAACAGAAAGACTTCGATGTTGAGTGCTTTCACTTAGATTTGTTTCATGATGGCAGGTGATCACATTATGAACAAAGTATACGTTACAATATAGACCTTGTAAGTGAAACCCAGGGCTATGTTTCTTCTAAATATGCTTGTAGCTTTGTGACTTATATTTTTTGTTGAAGATACCGGATCATGAGCAGCCAGAGATAATTTGAGTTAAATCAACTGAAGTAGCTTTTGGCTACCTAGCTGAATGATATACTGAAGGTCCGTCGCAGACCAAACGGGGTTAAGTTTCATGACCAAGGCGACTACCAAGTCAATACTGGATGGTTCGTGACGGTCGCAGCTTCCTGAGACTCAGGTATGGGGACGAACTACACACCTCGGATCTTTAACAGGGATTGTCACGATCACCGTAAACACATGATGACAAGCATCTTACAGGTCTTATATTTTCGTCCTAATGTTACTTCATATTTGCAGAAAATGAGGATTACGTAACAATTTCAGGATAACTTTTAACACTTTCTGTATATAGTAACAATTATGAGATATCTCTCTTCAAGATCCTCTCCTTTTATTTATTTTCATTAATTGTTGTTTATCAATACCAGAGACTTTGCTTTCTCTCCCAGCATCACAATGTATCAAAACATATCTCTATATATTAGCATGTGCATGGCTTAGAAAACCAGCCAACAGTCGCCAGCTGGTCGCGAGCTGGCCACAAGCCCTACTGGGGAAATTAAGCATGCGGCGACCCCTACCGACAGCAAGCTTAATTAGTCATACTTTCATAAATATTTTGACACGTGATAGGAAGCAGACCCACAAATAAACAGTGTCTGGTGGAACAAGGTCATTTCTTAAAGGTCCCAACAGACTGCTTTCCAATGAAACCTAGTTTTGAACAATAGAGTAGCACGGGTTTGGCGAAGGAGGTGTGATATTAGAGTTTCAAGCGCGGCACAACATTTCATATCAACGCAAATTCATTGCTCATATTTACATATCTTTTAAGTTACGGGTACATATGCACGTGCATCTGACCCAGTATTAAAATGGAAGGGGCAGATCAATTTTGGTCCTTCCAGCGTTCCCTTAGCTGAAGGCAAGGAACCCTAAACTTAGCCTCCTCTGAAAACATGCAGTGAGTTTCAAGGGCTACAACTGACATTTACTACCCAGGAATAATTCGTTGTAAAACTTCAGGCAGTTGACCTATTTCAAGTCTTGGGAGTTCTTGTTAATTTTGCCTGAAAGTTCGACTTCAATTGACTAACGTACAACGCGTTGTATCTCTTGTTTTATTTTAAAGCATTAAAGCAATACTAATCGTTTTAAACACGTCAATGACATATAACCGGTACGAAAATTGAAAAGTTGGCAGCTTTCGCGCATGCCAGATATGATTGGTAATAATCCGAATGGAAAGCCGAGGCTGTAATCCATTCGGAACGACTTAGTGGTGCCACATTAACGGCATTGTCTTGATGTATTTATAACAGATTACAAGGTCTAAGTGGATTTTAATATGACGCCCTACATTTATTTAATATTTCTAGCAGTAAATGTACTTTAAAAAACATTTATGATCATCATATGATATGGCGCCTGCGTATTTACCACAGGAATTATAATAAACTTCCTCGCAAGTTTCTCAAAGCAGGAAAGCCTCGACCAGCTCGTGATAAACAAGAGAGATTATATTGTTAATTAACTCTCTGACATTTCAAGTGTTAAACGGTTTATCTTCACAGCTGAACGACGTTATTTTAAGTACCTGTATTGGCACGTGATTTACGACGGAGAGATAGCAGCCCCCTCTAGCGGCACGCGACTAGGGTCCTGATAATATACATATACTTCTCTCGGAATATGACATCTTCGTTTTGATACGAAACCTTACATCCGGTTTTATCAGTTGTAAGTAAGATATCATTTTAAACGTGCGTATTGATCAGAGTTACCGCCAGAATTTATTTAAAGGAACGCAATTCTTTGAAGAGGGAGCGACTAATTCGTTTGAGCTTGACGAACGTTTTCCTTCTGACATGATCACTGATGGAGTGCCCATTCGAGAATTAGCTGTTTAGAAAGATAACCTATTTCCATCGAATTTCGCAATGTTTCTCTGTCTTTAATGAAATGTCTGACAGTTGTACTGTTGGTTCCACGAAACGAGCCCTGGACTTTCCAGAAAATCCACGTTATCCCTTGAATTCCTACAAAATCCACCTTTCAAAAAAAAAAAAGGGGGGGGGGGGTCGGGAGGGGGCAGGGGTTACAACAATAAGATATAGGTGCCAAAAGCATTCCTTGTCTACACAATGTATAGCTCGATTTAGAAACAAAACTGACATCTTCTTTATACTACAGTCAATCCCAAATAGAACTTTCAAAAGTTCGTTCATGACATAAGATGGTGACATGCAGTAAACAAAGGGCAATTACTCGTTTTATAAAATGGACGAACGGCTTAATTTTGCATACAGTCCCCTGCCATGCAAAGAGGTAGCTACACATACAAGATAGATTTGGCAGTTTTATGTGAAGAGTATAAATAAAAATGTCCCGAACAGGATCAAATCAGCACCCAATCACAAATTATGGACGGAATATAATTCATCATCCAAACCGCAAATACGGACTTTGGACTTACAGTAAGAAAATGGGATATTAGTAACAAAATCGGTTTAATGGATATCTCTTTCCTTCGTTTTTAATTTCAACCCATCAAAGATTGTACAAATGACAAACGAGTGAATAGCACTTTTTAATATAGATTTAGAAAGAAATAAAGTAGAATGTTTCGTCGTTCTAGGACTCGTCAGTGATGATGAGAGTCTCAAGTTTTAAACCTATGAGACGAATGAGGAATATCAGATGTGATCGAAAGAAAAGTCAAAATCTAGACGGAGGGGTGAACTGGCCCTATAAGTCAACCTAAGTGGCAATTTCCACCTATCTGATAAACGTTGAAGGACGTCAAGTACATATGAGTGAATCAAAACGTAAAACCGATTCATTTCAGGTCATGACATATTGGAGTGAAAGAAAGTACAGTGCCAGATACTCTCTACCATAACTTTAACAAAACCTGTCAGAGAATGTACGTCACGGATACGATGTTTATAGTTAGTTATTGTAGGCACACTACGTCTGTTTACTATGCACTACCGCGTTGCATCACGCAAAGCACGTGTACAGCTGTCGACTAGGAACTGAGAACATCTTGACATCGTTTATGAATAATGAAGATTATCTCTCTTCCCAACAGAGGCTAGCCGAGTTACCAAGTACGCTAAGAGTATTGAGAAACAATTCATTCATCAAAGCCATACGACGGAATGCGCCACCAAACGAAGGAAGGCTGGAGTTTATTACATCACAGGATGGCCTCGCCTCGCCCTACAGCTCGCTTCCTACGAAATGACGTAAAACTGAACGATACTAACTTTTTTTTGTTATATTTCACTAACAAACATGCCGTGCTTTGTTTTTGCCATATCGATTTTTTTTGTGTGTTACAATTATACGTATGCAGTGCTAAGGCTTAATGCAATCATACCTCCTGAAAGGTTTATGAAGTATAATTTACACACACTTCAAGAATGTTTACTACCACCGGTATATACCAAGACTTCGTTTTCGTCTAATTCTTCAAAATTTCACGTTTGATTTTGATGCGGTTTAGCTAGTAAGGGCATAATTTTACTACGCACAACTAAGAAATAAGAATTATTCACGTTTTCAAATACACGTACACTTTAATTTTTCATCATAGCACACGAAAACACTATTTTAAGATTGTGTTTGTCACAAACGCTATTCTTCAAAAACTAATATTAGAATACATTTCAAGTTAAAAGTCAACCAATTAAATTAAATCATTGGGTACATGATGTTATTGATGCTGTAAACAGGGTGGTACTGTGACAACGCAATGGCCTTTCACCTAATCGATCAGGGTTCGATTCCCCGAACGGACGTGAACAAGGTTGCTCTCCGTGTGCTCCGTACTTTGCCTTACCTCCCATAGTAAGACTCCTCGCGAGGTATTCGGGTCAATTTGTAAATCTAAAGCATTCTATTATTTTTTTGTGGTCAGTTTGGAATAAACAGAATTGATGGACAAATACCTAGCCAATTTAAAATTAGATCGCATGTACATATTGTAGCAAATCTATCACGTGATTATTTTGAATATGAAAGTAAAAGCACTATGTCCGATTCAAACAGAAGCTATAATGTAAGTCAGTTTGAAAAATGCGTCCATATTGGCTTAAACTTTAAAATACTGAATTAAATTAAGTCGTCATATTTGCTTGCAATGCATTGCGCAGGTGCGAACATCTTGTGACGCAAGTAAAACCTTTATAGAATTACAAATTATGTTGATATCGTATGTCGGATTTCATGGTGATTCTGAGGAGTACGACTTCCATAAGAGTATAGGTAGACTCTTACGTTCAATTCCTTTCTTGTTAGGAGTATCACTTTAACTTACATGAAAACTTATATAATTTTCTTCATCATTGTTTTTTTTTTGTTTTTTTTTTTATTTTTTTTTTTTTTATTCTTAAAAAAAATAGAATTATAAGCATATAAAATCATCATTGATAGTCTGATTGAATTACATCTGTCTGTCTTTGATGTTTTGAAATAACTGTAGAGTTAAAATCGGGAACGTACACGTATATAAGCGAGTAGCAAAAAAATATGTAAAACTCTGACAGTATTATTTGCGTACGCTGTGAACATATGCTGCTTACAAGTCTGTTTAATTTTTGTTATGATTTGTTCATAAATCCGTAACTTTTCACCGTCCTCCGTTCCATCTATTTAATTTGAAGTTTACGTAGAATTTGAAATGCACTCACAATTAGAAACCAGTTCTGTCTTTTGGGTTTCAGTGTAAAATTTTTCCTCTCCATTCCTTTTAGTGTAGTATTTTTACAACTGGATAAATATATCCGAGTCTCATTTTCAATATTGTTTTCTCATCGATTATAGACGCGAACCTACCATCTCGGTATCATTCAATTAGATCAACACTTTAACAGTAGCTAAAGACGAATGTTATGACGTCCATATCGGTAAGAATTTCATCCTTTTAAGAAAAATGAAATCCACAATTTTTTGAGAGAGTACTTCATAATTTTTAAGAACAAAAACCTGAAAACATTGATATATATCAAATACTCAAAGTTATGTTCACCAAAGATTGGAATTTAGAATATTTATTTGTGATATGCAAAGATTTTATATGTTCCCCATGAGAAACATAATTATCACGTATTGGAACACTTTTGATGGTATGCGTTTTTGCGTCAAAGGAGATAACTCTTCAACTGATCCAATTTATGTTGAGTAAGATACCATACAGCCTTAATTACTTCAATCGTGAAATGGCGTTTGAAATGACTTAACGATTCAGAGTCTGTCAGATTGAAGGTAAAACACAGGCATTTAAATAACATCTTTCAATACAAAATTAAGAATTAAGATATGTCATACACATGCAATATCAATCTGCAACGTGAAGTAGTTTTGTGTTTCAAGGTTTAGCAAAATACATTGTACTTTAGTCGAAATTTGCCGATATAAATTTTAAAATAAACGCGAGGAGGAACACTAACTCTATTATCTAAAAAAATCGTAATAACTTAATAATGGATTATTTTTAATAACCAATTACATGTAGTAGCAACAATATGAACTAATTAAACTTGGTAAAACCCCAGAAAATAATTCCAGACAGGATTCATTGCTTAAATTTTAAATGGTATGAATGATGTATACAAGGCACTTTAATTGGTAACACCTATAGTAGATTGGTTTCGTCGAAAAATAATTTATTATCTTGATCAAAACTGATCACGATTTTAAGTTCTCAATGTCAGGTGTGACGTTCATTTCTAAAAGTACTGTACCAACACCTTGATTTAGTTATATGCCTATATCATGATCACTATTACTGAACATAGCAAAAATAAATTTTTGAACAATTTGATACAATATCTAGCAAAAAAAATTATTTTAAAAGTTACTTACTTATCGTCAAGAAATCCCAGTAAAATCACGGAACAAAACAGAAGATTCGTCAGACTAGGTACATCCATAGTGGAAATCGCACTTGATCTGAACTCAAATTGGAATGTTACCAAACTGGTCTCTTTGTAATTACTTTAGGGTATTATAAAACTGCCTATGAGTTTAATACAGTCAACGTACCACTCCGAGCCCATGTGCTGTAGTATACATTCGCGAGTGGTACATTAAACGTATACATGGTACGTATACATAACGTGCCTCCGTGCACACGCACGCGCTTTGAGAAGAAGCAAACGATTTGCTAGAATTATTCAACTCTGTAAATAAATAACAACTGCCTGGGACGTACTTAACTTGACTAAAACGCGTATGGTATTTACTAGAATAACGCGCAGCTAGTTTGGGTGTTTGGAAAAGGCGGGAAAAAAACTGGCACGCGAGCGCTGAGACCTAAGTGTCATTTCCGCATGGCTATGTAAATGATAACACATGGCTTAATGGCTCCAAAATATAGTAAACAGAATGGAGTATATATATCGGTAAGGGCCCTTTCCTGTTCCACACCAATTTCGTCTGTTTTAATAGCTCCCTTGGGGCCGTCCATTTAAACTAAGCCCGCCGTTCCAGAGGATACAAGTGAAAAGAGGAAATTTGCAGTTATGTAATAAATGACATGTTTTTTTTTTCTGTAGAGTTCTGATTGCAATCACGTGGATAACGATGGTACCGTTTCCTTTCGGGGTCGTAAAAATAATTTCTATACATGTTTTGTCATCATATTCTTCAAAGTGACAATCTGAAAAACACAGAATGTATGTGTTATATAGGTTTTATCTTAAGGTTTCAATCATCATATAAATGTATTTGTAAACGATTAATAGTATGTATTTATAGAATAGATTTTAGTTCCTTAATAACTCTCGACAGGAAAGAAACTATCATAGTTCTACTAATGAATCGAATGTGTATCTGATTATTTACCATATTTTTGTTTAACCATAACATAACGTAACATAGTTTAAAAATAAGTTTAATAAAATTTTCAATAAAAAATACAGAAAACGGACAGCCTACTGTCGCTGAATATGGATCATTAGATCTTCCAAGGACCTGTCACGGTCTTACAAGCTTAAAAATATCCCCCATTATCATTAAAAGATAAACCAACCCCTTGAATGTAGATTTATAGCATATTTTGTTCACAGATACATTTGGTGGTGCTATTTTAAAACACCCAATTACGCATTCCGTTCCTTCGGAGTACGTCGTGTTGACCTTGTTTGATAGAATAATAACTTTTTTTTTCAAATCCCATTATTAGACAGAAGTTGCACCCTGATGACCCTGGTCAGACTGGGTCATGGGCAAGGGGATGTAAATATGCAAAGATCACCGCGTGTTGCTAAAAATAACTGTGGATTCAGCTGCAGATTCTTGAATGGTGAAACATAGATAATGTCATGTTTTTTTCCTAACCAAAATCAAGTCTTTATCCGACAACAGATAGTACATAATGGTATAGATGTGTTCGTTCTGATAACAGAGGCATTTCTCGCGCAGGTAACGATGTTAAAATCCTGGATTTAATTAACAAACGATCACTGGGTGCAGATGTTTTTTTCTTTATATCATCGTTAAGACAGACATGGAAATGTTTATAATTTTTAACATATATCTTTTTCTTTTATATTTTGTTGAAAATAGATAGCATATGCAAAATCGGTTTACTTTTTATTACACATATTCTTATTAAGTTTTGCATGCAAAATAACCGATTTATATGATCGGAATGGCTTGAGATCGACCTCCCGTATCTTGTTCAGTTGGGTAGTAACCAGCTGTTAAAAGAAGATCCCGGTCTCAAAATGACATTGGCTGTTCAAGGGACGATAAATCCAGCCAACAATCGTGCAATGTTTCAGTCACACAAGAAGACAATTAAATAGTATTTTCTCACCCTACAACTACAAGTTCCTCAATACAATCGTCAATATTCCTCACACTTCAATGATTTTTTTTTGTAAACAACAATAAATATTACTCATTATGCGGTCATCAAATATTCCTCCTACTACACGCGATATTACCTACACTACACTTGAATATTTTTCATACTACACTCCAATATCACTCTTACTACGAATACATATTTTAAACACAGCACTCAAAAATCTCTCTTACTATGACTGCATATTTTAAACAGAACACTCAAATATCTCTCTTACTACGACTACATATTTAAAACAGAGCACTCAAATATCTCTCTTACTACAAATGAATATTTTAAACACAACACTCAAATATCCTCAAGTCAACATTCAAATATTCCTTATACTACACTCAAATATTCGTCTTGCTAAGTCAAATATTCTTAAAACTACAATCAAACACTCTTTATCCTACAGTCAAACATTTCCTCACTGCAGTACACTCAAATACTCCTTATACAACGACAGTCAAAATTTCCTCACGCTACACGTAGTTAATCCCCATACTATCATCAAACATCCTTCACTCAAATATTCCTTATGTTAAATATTTCTCAATCTACACAAACATTCCCTATAGTAGTCTAATTTTCCCCATACTACAGTCAAATACTCTTTATACTACACTGTAATAGTATTTGTGCTACAACCACATTACTGTTTTTACAGTCACACTGTTGAATCTGTTTAACATCTGTATCACCTTTTTGAGAATTTGACACCAGTAATGGTCCTGATTATCAACAATGTTTTTCATTGAAATCTCAAATGATGGTCACATATGTATGTTTTCCCCTCGATTTTAATGTACAATTAAATGTACTTAATGCTAGCGCGAAACAAACAGACCAACCCCGGAATACCTCAGTAATTACAGACGTGATTTATTACAAACCGACATACCATTCTGTTTGTTATGACGAACCTCTCAGAGTACAGGAATGGTGTGTTACTGTCAGAAGTAAGAGACATGGTTGTGGTTTTCGCTGATTACGTTTTCATCTGAAATTCTGTGCGTCAAACGAATCGTGAAATGAAATTGAGTTAGTTAGTCCGTACTTCAATAGTACACCGTTTTAAACGCTCTCCTCGGATAAATAAAGAGTTATCCCCCTTCTACTTCTCTCTTAAAATCTACCATATTTTAGAAGAAAAAAATCACTGAAATGAGCAAAATGGTTTTAGAAGAAATTGATCGTGTATTGATCATGTCTTCAGTTAAAATTTTAAGAAACCTTCTAACTTTTATAGACTTTAAAAATCCTATAAATGTGTTAAACGGCATGTAGTTTCTGAACTGTTAAATAATTGTGTTGGTGGGAAATTATTTATATAAACAACTTAGCTGTGTCTACTGCGTCCGTGTTGGTCAGAATTTTACAGAATGGTTCTTGGAAGAAGTTAGAACATGCTTTGTTTTTTTTTATAAATAATGTCTTTTCAAATTTAGGCAACTTGATAAAAGAGTAAACATTCACAGTTGGGAGATACAACTATTTTGTCTAAAATATCATGCAATGATTGCTCGTGTATGCTGGATTGGCGTCATTAAAGTCAAACGTTGTGCATTTCGTAAACTGCACAGAAACAGAAGTTTCTATTTTCTTTTCATTCAGGATAACACTCCTTGGAATACACAAGTTCCTGAAATTAAATTTAATGGAAACTAATCAGATACTTGCCGATGCCGGGAGACGAACAGTTTGTACAGTTTTTGTGATTGCAGGTTGTAGACACTGCTGGTGCACTTTTTACTCCTCGAGGTTTGCTGCCGTAATTTGCGTGACAGGTTTAAATTCATTCGAATAGTGGCTCGGTTCGGAATATACACGTGCACTTGACGTTATTGTAAAATAATCTGACATGTGAAAATAATTAATGGGCTGCTGCGTCTCCCACAGTCCGGGTTTTGACTTTTCTTTCGATCGCTTTAGACATTCATCATTCGTCTTCTCAGCGTCTACAAAATTTAGGCTCTTAGCATCACTGACGAGTCCTAGGAGGACGAAACAGCTGTATGATGTAGCATCACTGGCGAGTCCTAGGAGGACGAAACAGCTGTATGGTGTAGCATCACTGACGAGTCCTAGAAGGACGAAACAGCTGTATGGTGTAGCATCACTGACGAGTCCTAGGAGGACGAAACAGCTGTATGATGTAGCATCACTGGCGAGTCCTAGGAGGACGAAACAGCTGTGTGATGTAACATCACTGACGAGTCCTAGGAGGACGAAACAGCTGTATGATGTAGCATCACTGACGAGTCCTAGGAGGACGAAACAGGTGTGTGATTCTGTTAAATTCATTTGCTTGGCTCTACTGCATCTAACTCTTAATTTATATAAGAAGGTCTATTCACTCGTGTTTTTTATAGAATCCGTGATAACATTTGAAGCTCGTTAAAGACATTCATCATTACTTGCTAAACAATCACCCATGGACACTCATCAGGTGTCTTTTGTTATTCACCACGCGCCTGACGCACAATTCTAGGGACTCTTCCGTCTTCTTCCCTCTCCTTCCACATGTGATATGATTTACTATAAAACGCGTAAATTGCCTCATCGACTTATTTCTTGTATTGCCCTATTCTGATGAAATGTACTGTGATAAGTCGTGAAAACTTATCTCGAATTATTTTGTACATAATTTTTTCCAATGATTCATGTTTCAATTAAATTAATGTTTTCAAACAGAGGAGCACGTGATATTCAGCGCCGTCGGTTCCTGTGGTGTCTGGATTTCGTGTGACTCCCTCTGCTCCGGTACATACTCACTCGCTGTACCATGAACTGACGACAAAGGGGCCGAAGTATCAGCCACCTTAGACGCATAAGATTCACTGTTTGTCTGTTCCGTCTTCTCAGGACACCGAGACCGAACGTGGCTTTTTTCTCCTGACAACGAATAGGTGGCCGACCTGGTACTATTATCAAAGCTGATTTGTCAAACACCCTGGTCCTGTGAGGTATCGAGTCCCTCCCGAATGATCATAGTGATTACTCTAGTGTCAGTTTCTAATGTCACATCACCGACAGAGATAGTTTCCTGGTCTTTGTTAACCACTGTACATGGAAACCATGGAACTGGCTGTCAATACAATCATTGAAAATTCACGATTCTAAACATTGTAAACGAATAGTCAATCGCAACCGGTTCCATATCTATAGCCATCAACAACGATCTTGTCAACGAGTTGCTGGATGGACAAGATGGCACACCAGGTATTCGGTGCTTTACAACGGAACACTGACCTTATCCCCAAGCC